TGCTTGAATGGAACAATGGAGGTGGTTGTATGCCCTCACTCTGCCTGGGGTGTTTATATATGGGGCTTCTAAGATGTTAATAAACTTTTAAGTCACACCTTTCTTCAATAGACAATCCCAGAGAACAGTCCTGTCCAACGAATCGAAGGCAACCGTGATATCAAGAAACACTACGATTGTTGGCCTGTGATATGTATGACGGTGTTCTAACAGTTGGCGGAGGGTGAGGATATGATCAATACATCCTCGATTAGAATAAAACCCAGCCTGCTCCTCGCAAGTCAATCTTTCACGGGTTTTGAACAACCTACAAAGTATAACGGAAGCCAATGGTTTGGACGGAATCGGAAGTAGACTTATCTCCTTATAGTTGATGCAGAAACGACGTGAACCCTTTTTAAAAATTGAGAAAACTATCGACTCATTCCATAATGTTGGGACACTAACTGCCAGACCTTTGTAAACAACGTTGTCAGTTCCTTAACCAGAAAGTCACCATCTTTAAAAAGGGCCGGAGGTAAGTCATCTGGGCCCGGTGATTTGTAGCTCTTCAAGAGTTGGAGTTCCTTGCGGACTTCCGCCTCGTTAGGTGGGTCAGTTGTCGCAGGCTGTGGAGGGCAGGACAGTCTGGCCGATGTTATCGGGTCAGCAGACCAGTTGAACTGCTCTTCGAAAAATTCTGCCCATCGTCCATGTTGTTGATTGGCGTCCCATCATCTTCAAAAATTGTTTCACTCACACCAGAAATCGTGTTGCCAGTGACTCGGATGAGTTGGAAGAGCTTCCGTAGTTATTATATACAGCTGCTGCTTCCAACCCATTGGCATGCTCCGACTATTAGGCTCTTCAGTCCTTACACAAGCTTCGTTTGTGGTCAAACTCGCGGTTACCCGGAGAAGACCGAGGGGCTTCAATAAGTTTTAAAGTGCCTAAAGAAACCCAGTGCTTATAGGCGGGTTGTTTTACAAATCCGCAAGCGACTTTATTCGCCATTTTCATGGCGTCATGCAATTACAACCAATGTTCAACTATACTTCTCGGTGGAATGGTAGCTAGTCTTGAGCCTAGCTAGGTTTGATATTTAGTTGCAACATAAGATGCAACCAATTTGCTGACATCGATTTGTTTGGGACGATGAACTTGCTGGCCACTGAAACGCAATGTAAGATTAGGGCATGATCATAATCCAGATAGGTACTTTAAGAGAATCGGCAATATTGTACACAACCATGCCAGTAGTAGCTAATCGCGATATGATCAACCTGAGTCTAGGTTTGAGATGCAGAGAGAGGACGCCAGATGGCACATCGAAGATGACTGTGTTGAAAGTTAGTCCCAGTCAGAAACAGGTTATGGTCTGCGCACATTTGCAGTAGACGGTCCCCGTTATCTGGCTTGCGACCTACAAGTCCCCATTGACCACCTAATCTATATATATATATCTTTTAGCTTGTGTTCGTATTTTGTTTCCTCAATGCCGTTCTACAGTTCCCAAAAAATAAACTTTTTAAAATTTCTTTTTTCTGTATTATGAGTCTAGACCGGAACTCTTTTACTTTTGTTATAAATGTTTTCTCTTTTTAAAAGTTAAAAACTATTTAATGCGTTATCTTCATAACATTTTCGTCTGATTGACATTTCCTGATGATATGCAACATTTTAATGGGTTATGGAACACTGTGACTACAAAATTAGCAATTGTGTAATAACTCAAATCATTAACCAAACATTTCATTCCTATAGGTATGCGTGTGTGTATGCGCTAATTGTTTGATAGTAAATATCATCTCGATTTCTAATGGATCACTGGTGGAATATATAGTATCAATTATCCAACTGCTCTATGACTACTTTTTCTGTTTTCAGAAGACCATTTGAATATTTAAATGCATTATTATGATGACTTGAACAGACAGTACAATAGTTGTTTGTTATCAGTCAACTAGAGTCTAATATTCAACCATCCTCGGTATGTATAAATTGATGGTTGAATGGTAGACTTGTTAACTATCCGTTTTTGAATTCACTTGGCATCGTGTACTTGGATATTCTCATTAATGTTTAGGTTACAATTGACCAGTCTTTTATTGGCATATTGGCGTATTGCCTTAATTCAAAAGCATTATAAGCAAAGACGAATAGTGGTTAGCAGTGAAATCCAGCTAGCTAAGTAGATAAGGCGATGGCGTTTGAAGCAAACGGTACTGCGTTTGAGTCCCAGGGTGAATATCAACTATAAGATGCAGGTACATCCACTTAATGAGTCCCAAGTAGGACGGAACGCGCGTCCTGGATTCCATTGCTAGCTACTATCCATCTTTGCTTATCCATTTTTGAGTTATTTTAAGCTCAATCTATGTGTTCATTATACTTTTAAGTGGAGTGTAGTCCATTAGATTCTAGTAATATTAAATAAGTTATTGAAAATCTGTTGTCAGTTGGACTTTTTTCAAACAATATTTTCAGTTGCAAATACTTTTCTCTAATATCAGTTTGATTAATTTTTTTACAGGTGGAATAAAGTTCTGCTTTCACTTAGTAATAATAAGTTTTACACATTTTACCCCACCCTAGGTTCTTTGTTTCTGTTGATGCAAAAGATGATAGATATAGTTAACTTCATATTTTTCGAGCAATTACTAAGTCTATATTTTTGTTGAAGCTTTATTTTCATGTATAAATCACGACTTCTTTCTCACCAATATTAACGGTAGAAACATGAAAACTCCCCCCATGAAATTTAGCGTCCTAATATCATATTAAAGCATTAATCTTTATAAGTCCAGGTTTCTGTTTTAAACTATATAACTATTTCAGTGGTAGCCCACTGATGAGCATCAAAGAATAATCTCAGCTGTTTCATAAATACATGTACCTGAATGATGGCTTTCGTCGCTTTCTAAGTTTCCGCCCCATACAATAGAACTGCTTTGACATTTGTATTGAAAATTCTAACTTTGGTGTTGGTTTACAGTTGGTTTGAGTTCCAGATGTTCTTCACTTGTAGATACGTTGCTCTTGCTTTGCCGATCCGCGCCTTCACATCTGCATCAGATCCACCCTGTTCATCAATGATGCTGCCCAGATATGTAAAGGTTTTTACATCTTCCAAATCTTCTCCGTCAAGTGTGATTCGATTGTTGCATGTTGTTGTTGCTTTTCCCTTTGTGTATGTTGAGACCTACTACTGCTGCGTCACTGGTCGTCTTCTACATTTGTTGTTGCGTGTGCGATAGAAGAGCCAGATCATCTGCGAAGTCTAGATTGTCCAGCTGCATCCTAGCCGTCCACTGTATTCCATGCTTCCCCTCAGATGTTGACGTCTTCATGATCCAGTCGATCACCAGGAGAAAGAGAAAGGGTGAGAGTAAGCAGCCTTGCCTGACATCGGTCTTTACTTCGAACGACTTTGTCAACTCTCCTCCATGTAAGACTTTGCAGTTTAATCCATCATATGAATTTTGTATGATATTGACTATCTTCTGAGGCACGCCGTAGTATCGAAGAAGCCTCCACAGTGTTGTCCTGTCCATGCTGTCAAATTCTTTCTTGTAGTCAATGAAGTTGATGTAGAGCAATGAATTCCACTCAATTGATTGTTCCACAGTGATTCGTGGTGTTGCAATTTGGTCTTTACACAATCGATCCCTACGTAATCGAGCCTGTTGGTCTCGAAGTTGTGCGTCTACGGACTCCATATTTTTTAACAATACCCTGTTGAAGACTTCCTGGTATTGAAAAAAGAGTGATTCCTCTATAGCTCTCACACTTGCTGAGATCGCCTTTGTTTGGAATCTTGATCAGATGTCCTTCTTTCCAGTCTGTTGGTACTTGTTCTTCATTCAAAATCTTGCTGGAAAGAACATTCATTACCTTTACAGTTACTACTACATCTGCTTTCAGTGCCTCTGCTGGAATGTTGTCTGGTCCCGCTGCTTTGCCGCTCTTGATTTGTCTGATGGCTATGTTGATATTTTCAATTGTTTTTTGACCAACAAAGTGTATTTGTCAGTTCATGCTTTATTAGAGCCATCGAGTACGTATACCATTCAACACTATTTTGAGAAACGTTATGTTTCAGTTATCTATGCTAAATTTATACAACCATAATTACCTTGAAATCATGGGGAAGTCTATTCTCTAACGTTGCGTTTAGCCGTTTTTTCATAATTAAGAATGTGTACTTTACTCACTGTTCTGGTTAAGAAGAAACATATCCTAAATCTTAATTTATTGCAATTAAAAATTGATAATCTGATGTGCATAAATTTTGCGACAGTATTTCCCACCAGATTATCATCATCATACTGAAACAAAATTCTTGTATAAACCTGTTTGCCAGCAATTATTCAAATTGATATTCCATTCAATATCCTAATGTCACAGCGTTGTTTTTTGTTGATAATTTTCAAAGGTTGAATGTAAAATTATGAAATTTTATCCAACACTGTTCAAAGTAACATTATTTTTTATCAAACTTCGACATGCTATTGTACAATGATTATACAACGCTTCAAGAGAACAATGTAAACGAAATATGGCTTTACGAAATTCATAAATTTATTTCTCACCATCCATATGTATGCCTGAATGAATATTATGAATTCGCAGCTGGAGTCAGTTCACTTATTTCAGTCGCGTTCTGATCCAGACCTCATAATTTATCGTAAATTAAAATTTGTTGTACATAGCACGTAGTGAAATCACATAAACTCCCCAAGTTATTTTGAGCCAATGAAACAATACAGTTTTTCTTTTGTTATTGGTATTTTACTTCAAATAGAATTTCAATGTTTGTCACAAGTTTTTTAGCTATTCATGGATTTCACGAATAGACTATGACTATTATGACGATCAATAAAATGATGTATGTTTAATGCTACCTACATATTACGTTTTCTGTCGATAAACCATTCTATTTTAAATGAATATAAAAATCTAATTATATATCTTTCGTCATATTTCTAAAATTTCTTCTCCGTTTGTATACTTTTGATCAGTAATGCGACGAGGTTGTCCAAATGATTGCAGTAATCGTGGTGTGTGTGATGGTGGTGTTTGCGATTGTGTGAATGGATTCAAAGGTCCAGATTGTTCAATAGGTAAGCGCAACTATATATCAATTCGTTTTTTTCCAATACTGTTAAATAGTGTTCATGTTTCCATGTTTGATGACAATAATATGGATGTTTTAAAATCTTAACCCATTTATCGAAATTCCATAATTTTTTATCCTTAATGCGGTAAAAAATGATGCTGAACTACAAAATCTTATTATTTCTCATATTTATATATAAATATTAGAATTGCTTTAACTTTCAATCAGTCTTCAAACATAATCTTTTGTTCTTTGGATATAATCTTTTTATTTACTCACATTTTAAGCAACAAAATAAACCAGATATCTTGTTGGTTTTATCGACTGATAGATGGTTTTCCTGTTTTTATCACAACTGAATACTTACTTTATCCGCTTTATAATGTTAAGCTACTTAATAATGTTTAGAAGTAGTGATGTGTATTTAACGCATGGTTATTTTCAAGTTAATCAGGGTGACTCGTGTAATAACACAAAACCAACATGAATAAACTTTTTCTCAATGACTTTTATCACTGACTGTTATCAATAGTTAGAGAACTAGATGGCTATCTCTCCATAGTTTTAATGCTCTCTGATTTTCAGTGACTATTTGAGCAGCTAATCCCTGATTAAAGCTATCTTAAAAATAAAAAAAACTTGAATTCTTGTCTTCCAAAGGTCTGTATGTGGCTTCCGACCGGCAGAATGAAGTTCATAAATCTTAAGCTATTCGCTTAACTCTGGATACATTTTTATGTGTTTACTACGTACCTCTATTAATTTGGTTTAAACTATTTACCGTTGGTTACAAATAGTCATTATCATTAAAACATGTTTTCATTTGTTCTGGTGATTAATTTTTTCCTAATGACCTTTGTGTCTAGTGTCTAGAATTTCGATTAAAAACATTTTGTATTTATCCTTCAACCTGATGTGTATTTATACATTTATCTCATTATTTTTATTGATAAAAATCTAATAAAAATCACTATAGCTGAGTTACCGAAAGTTTGCAGTGGGCATGGTGATTACGCATCTGGTGCTTGTCGATGTTATCCTGAATGGAAAGGTCAAGAGTGTCAGACATTATGGTCTGAATGTGAAGATCCTACCTGTTCAGGTAATGGTCGTTGTGTTGTTGGTGAATGTCAGTGTTATGAAGGTTATGCTGGAAATTTGTGCCAGACACGTAAGTCATTTTAATTAATTAATAACTATACTTGTGTTATCGTTGCTCATTAATTTATATTTAACTGATTGGATGTAATTATGTTTAATGACTTCTGTTTATTTTCATTTACCATATATGTTAATTACTTAGTTAACTGTTTAATCTATTTACAACAACAACTCCTACTACCATTAAATAAACGGAACCTATTGATGTAATTGTTTTTTTCTAATTTGTAATTTTATAAATTTTCTGCACACTACGACTATTATTTTCACTTAACTGTCTGTCGATTGTACGTGTATATTTTTACATGCATTGAGTTTTTTTATATCCATTCATTTATACTTTTCTATTGCACACCTATATGCACACACAGACACTCGTCAATGAGCATGTAAGAGTTGCTGGCAAAACTTATAATTATGCTGGATGGCATCAATATAAAATAATAAAATCGAAATATAATTACATAGTAAGTGAAAAAAGAAAGCGTTAGTGATTAGTTTGGAGAGGATTTCCACTGTTAATGATGAATAGTCAGTCAGTCAGCTACAACGTAGGACCAGGCACATATGTGCATCGGTCCAGGTTGCCAAACCGCATCAGCACAACAAGATGAACACCGGATTCATAGCAGTGGTTAGGTCAAAGGTGGTAATATATAAGAGAAAGATTGCATATAGAGATATAGTACAGGAAGAAAGAATTGGTTCGTAGAAAGAAAGATATGAAGTGATTTTAATCTCTTAGTTTAAGGAAAGACAGGGAGTGTATACACCGACGCCATTGTGATCGATTCTGATGATGAATAATGAAAGCATGACTAAGTAGCTCCTTTGTTCGAGTGCTTCTCTAATTAAACCTAGAATATCTAATTCGTACGACGTCAAACGCCGTTAGTATCGAATTAAATTCCTTGTCTTCTGTAATTTCAGTTACCTTCTTTTTGAATTGATTCATTTCAAAAACATTGGTTGCTAATTAAAGCATCAATATGATTATAAGCGTTCAAAAAATTTTTGCATGAAAAAAATTACACATGGAGAGTTAGTTTTCTGTTGTGAAAATTAGAACAACACATATAAGCGAACAATTGTTTTCAATTAGATCGTCATCAGGCTTTACTCTAATATACATGAATATTTATACAAAAATTTTTAAACCAATCAAGGCAATTCGGGTCAATAATCAAAATGAAATAGAATAATTCTCTACACATAATAGGTAAAAGTACAAGTTGATAGTAGTAGGAAGACAGGTGAACTGATAATAGTGAGAATAATAAAATACAATAACAAAACTCTTATCAATAGTTAAACGTTGGAAATAGAAGGTCAAACAAACATGGGTAAATAGACTAGGAATAGTAATCACAAAACATTAAAATCATTACGTAATAAGATGTGTGTAAATAATCAGATAGTGAAGAATACAAACGGCAAGAGGCGGAAAATTACAAACAAATAATGGATGTGGAAATAAAGGTTAACGATAACAAAAATAGAATAAAATAAATAATGATAATAATAAAAAAACTTTAAAAAAGATTCGTTAGTTAAGTTATAACTGGCCATGGAAAGGATAGGGGGGTCACGTATTTCTTCTGTACACATAAATTGGGGTTATATGTACGAATTCCAATGGCTTCAGCTATATGTAAGAGGCGTGAACGAACTCCGTTGGGAAATGATGGAGGTATACGATAGATAACTCGAAATGATTTCGATTTATGCACAGCATGAACGCTATCAATGAGATGTGCCAAGATAGAACTGCGAATAGTTTTTCTCTGACCCTTTATGTACCAAGTTGGTAGATGTTCACTCATTCGTTGGTTAAGTTGCCTGGTAGTACGCCCTATATAGCTATCTCCACAGGAGCAGCTGAATTTGTAAATGCACATAGAAGAGGCCAACTCAGGTAACTTATCCTTCGTTTGAGTAGACATCGCTGGTCGACAAGAGAAGGTCAACGCAAGATTGGCTGCGTAGAATGTCTTCGTGATTACTTTAGTTAACCTACATTTCAGAGTGTCACTAACCACATCCCCGTTGAATTGCACTTTAATGTATAAAGGTTTCTTACGAACAGTCGAAATCTCCCACTTCTTTATTATGCCATACATATACTTCTTAATGAAAGCGCTGGGGTAGCCGATCTCGGTCAGTGAGTTGTTGATAAATTCGAGCTCCTGACTTAGAGTATCTACTGTACAGATCTTTTTTGCTCTGCTAGTGAGACACCTGACCAAATCTCTCTTGTAACGGATAGGTGTGAGACTGAAGAAGTGAGTATATTGGCATGAAGAGGGGTTTCTTCCATACACGCTCCTACTTAATGTGCCGTCACTTCGTCGGCTTAGTGTGACGTCAAGGAAGTTCAGCTTCTTATCACGCTCGCTTTCACCAGTGAAAGTGATCGCTGGGTGAACACTGTTGAACTGTTCTAGGAGTTCCTCCTTACTGGTGTTTTGATCTACGATAATGAAGGTGTTAACGTAGCGGCAATATAAATCAAGTTTCTTAATAGTCTCATTCAGAGGTCCATTTTCTAGCTTTGCTAGGAAGAGGTCAGCTAAAATCGGGCCTAGAGGCGAGCCCATGGCTATCCTGTCTATTTGTCTATAATAAGTATTGCTGAAGACGAAGTGTACATTCAGCGTGCATCTTAAGAGCATTTCCTTTAGACTATCGTTAGGCAAGCCAATGTTGATTTGTTTTTCTGATATTCTGATATATAAATATTCATATTAGAGTAAAGCCTGATGACGATCTAATTGAAAACAATTGTTCGCTTATATGTGTTGTTCTAGTTAGTTTTCTCTTCACCTTTATTGATTTATGAATATTAGAGATCGTCTTATGCTTTCCATTATTTATCAGTTAAGTCGTATGTGTTTTAACTAGCCAAGTAATTATATATCTACATGGCCTTAAAGGCAAGCGATAAATATCATAGCAAGAGAGCGATGAACCAATAAACATAAAATAATTTAGGCAGCTACGAAAAATACCTACTATACAGAATTATAGTCATCAATTCAAAATAAATAAATAAAAAATTAATCAGTAAAGAAAACAGATTACAAAGATTAAATCATCACCAAAAGTATATCGTACATAATATGAGTGACCAATAATTCTGTGTTCCATATTCCATGCTCTAATCAACTCATGGATCTTTATACTGATGAACATCAATAGCAGGGAAGTTTGATAGAATGACAGTACTTGAATAGGTACATATTAATGAATGAACATGGATATATCATACTAATTTTAACTAGTCGATTTATTGGTCAAATGTTTCCAGTTACTATCATGTTTATAATTTGTTGTAACGGGTGGACTGCAGGTTAGATGTACAGCGTATTTATCGATCGCATCAGTGACACGTAAAACACGTAAGGACGACCTAGAGTCCCGATTGGTTCCGCTTCCCTGTCTAGCCCAGTCAGTTGAGTCTGGAACGCAAGTCACAGCCTCTGAGTTATGAATCGTTATGTTCCAAACACACTCTGTTTATATACCAACCAACCAGACCACATTGTACCACAAAATAGAAAACAACATTTGTACAATATTTGACAGGTGAAATGAATATCGACCAGTGGAAATGTCCATTTAACGTCCAAGGTCACCATTAGACTTAACACGATAATTATTGGTATATTCCTCTGTATCCCTAACATAATTGTACATCTTGTTCGTGGAATTATTCCCTTTTACCTACGTAATTTTATTGTTCTTTCCTGTTTTATGCCACAATAATATATTAGTTATATTAACTGCGCGAATTGTTTATATTTGTGTAGGCATTGTTTTCTTCATCAAACAACAAAACCCTACCAGAACGTCCATTTTTTCTAATCGCTATTATATTTGACCTGGTTCCTAGCCACTACCTACCTGGGTTTTCACTGTTGGCCTGTGTATAAACAGAGTTCTAGAGGTGGCCAAACCAAAATATGGCATGAGTCCGTGAATTTGTTAACTGTTGACCTGAGTCATTTTAGTACTCGTCCACCATCTAGTTGAATTCAGTGCGATAATCACCATCACCGGTTGTAGACCTTAGGTGATATGGACGCCTCCGCAAAGTCGTATTCTTGCTCTATTTCCTCCCAAATTTCCAGTTTCAAAATTATTTCATACCTTTATTCCCTCATTACATTCCTTTTTTTCGGATGGTATCCTCTATGTTTTGTATGTTTTACTACCACTAATGTTACTTTTATTTCAACCACTTTGCTACTTATCTTGTTGATTTTACCTTGCTGAACTGATATGGTATTAAGACTTTGGTTGATGCACTATTGTTCCAAGTCCTGCTTCAAATACAACAGATCGAAAATATTTGGATCCTATTCAAATATTCAACATAGGCTAATGAACTTAAGAAGTAGTTGAACAAATAAAAGCAACTTTTATCTTTATAATCACCTAACCTTATGAACATTTCTGCCTGGTTTATCGAAGATGGTGTCCGCATATATAAGGTTTATAATTTTCTCGTATGAACCGATAAGTACTGGCTTCGAGTCTCAGTTTGAAAATCGATAATACGATCCAGGTATAGCCTACTGAAAATCCCTAATAAGATGAAACACGCATCGTAGATCCCATTGTTAACCATCCTGTCTTGTTTGTTATTTTTCATGACACTTCGGTTGTTTGAGATTTGTTTAACGAAATATCACTTATTACAATGAAAATAATTTCTGATTTGATTAGAACTTATTTTATTAGTTTCCCCATATGCTCAACCATGAAATTCTAACATCAACACTTTTTCCATAAATTACCATTTTATGTATGTATTTATTTTTTGATACAATAAATTGTAAATCAAATTAGATGAAGTAGGAGTTTTCAGTTCCTACTAGTACTACTACTAGATTTCTTCAGGGCCTAAACCCAGCATTACATTAGGAAAATTAAATTTTAAAAAACAACAAAATAATAAAGTCGGCATACATGTAATGTAGAAAGAAATAAGAAGCAGAAATAAGTAGTTGTTTTTATGTTTGCATATCAAAGTGAGAAATAGATAGAGATAGGCGGACACCGGATACCAAAAGAAAGCAAATGAAACAGCTGAAATTATTCGCGTTTGCAAATATATCTAACACATGAAAAAGGTTTAAAACAAATGCTTTTGGCCTCTTTTTTAACCGTCTCGTTTATAAAGTTATTCTTTTTTCATCCTTGTAGTTTGGATGTATTGAATTTATTACAGTTTTGTTAGGTTCTTTGACGTCGTAATCGGGTGTTGATACTGTGGCACGATGTGGTTAAGTAATCATTGCTCACAAACACGCACTGACTGTAAATGACCAGTTGAATTAAATAAAAACACTGAACAATCGATCAAATAATAATAATATTTTTGCACTAACGTGATTGAACTTTTTTTGCCTAGGTTCCACAGAACGCATTAAAAACCCATTTTAAGTTTTATTTTCATTTCATATTATTTATCGGATTCAGGAACGTGTATCTCTTTCAATTGTTCTGGTCACGGAGTTTGCATGAATGGAAATTGTCGATGCTTCAATGGTTGGTCTGGTATCGGTTGTGAGCTACCTGTACCTAATCATTTAATAAATTCTGAACTAATTCATCCGTCTAATGGAGCATCTACATCTGGTAACACGGGTAATGGAAATAATAATAATAATGATAATAATAATAATAATAAAATGTTTAACCGATTAATGATGAAGTCACTGTCTTCTCCTTCTTCATCGTCTGTACGAGCGATGGGATTATCATCCGCACCTGTTAGGTTGTTGTTGGATGCAGCATCAGAACAAGGTAAATTTGTTTCTATGAATATTTCAAATCTTATTTATTCCTGTTAATTATGTCATACTTTATTTTCTGTCAGTTCTTTCTTCTTATTCCTATTTCGTCTCTCCATTTGATCAAACTACCAACAACAAAAAATAATGGGATGCTCTAGTTGTTTATGTAACTTAAATAAATGATTTTTAACTCACTAAAATCGATTTGGTGTAATGTAAACTTATCTGTGTGATTTAATCAAGTTAGAAATCCTTAGCTTTAGATAGAAAGGTTATATTTCGTAGTTTTAAAAGTAATATGCTTGAATATCTTAGTATTTATTTGAGTCGTTTAATATTATTATTACAGACGACGTATATGTTCAGGTAACCAGCACACTATTTATCTAGTATTTAATCACTCGAATTTTAAGCAGTGTCTTGAATCATGTTCTTATTACTTTTAATAGTGACCTCATAACAAGTGATCAGTAAAAGCTTCATATACAAACATATGTTGTATTGCAGCTTGAAATATGATTGCTAAGGAAATAATCATTTATAGCACGTTAGTTCATCTAATGTAAGCGAATGTTACACGCAATGTTTGTCAATATATGTTAACTGATAAATTTAAGAAAATTTGTTGTAACTATAAATTATATATAGCAAAATATTTTTCGTCTTCTTAATAACTCGCAAATACAATGAAATGGAAGTCGTAAAGTTAACTGATAGTTACTGTCAAATACAACGAATATCTTAAGCTGTTTACAAAATCACCCTGTATTGTGTATGAGCAACACGAGCAAAAAACGTTAGATGATTGAACCTAAATTTCAACTTATAACGTCATGAAACCATTACTCGTAAGAAAACTATGCAATTATCTTTAAATCTGCTATTAGCATTTTCCCTGTTTTGTTTTCAGAATGCACACTCGACTGTAGTTCCCACGGTGTATGTGAATATATGGATGGTTATGATCAGCCTGTATGCCGATGCTTTTCTGGTTGGACAGGTTCCGATTGTTCTACAAAACGATGCGATACTCGTTGTTTTATAAATGGACATTGTACTAATGGTACATGTATTTGTAAAGTCGGTTGGAATGGAAAATACTGTACATTAGGTAATTTTCTAATCGTTCTCTTATTTTGCATTGTGAACGAAAAAGTATGTGAATAATGTAGGAGATGTATTGACATGAAATACTCATCTGTTTGTGACACTAATTACCAAGACAATTTTCCTTTTTGAATTTAATTTATAAATTATCCAAAAAGACATTTGATCGACATTGTCTGATCTTTTGGTAAACACAGTAACTGAATGTTTATCTGTAGGCATGTGAATCATACAGGTGTTCGCTATCTATTACATCAATTGGAAAATAGGAATCAGGTTGCTAATACCAAACTTGGGAAAAGCAGATAGAACCTTGACCTTTTGGAAGAGCATTAATTATATCTTCAACTTTTGTTAGATTCTGATAAGGGAGTGTATATTGGTGGTATATTTTCAAATATCCAACCTGTTATATACAACTTATGACTTAGCATAAATTTCCATTTGACCAAGTAGCCACAACCTACATCATACTCTAACTTAATGTTTTAACCTAAATTTGCATTTAATTTAGTTGATCGAAACACTTCGCTGTAGTGACTGTCGTTAAGAAGAATATGTGACAATGTCATAAGATCACTTAAAGTATTTAACCTGAATCAGGTAGATGAGGTAATGTTCATCGGTGCTCCGCACTCATTTATTAGGTAGTTTTGCAGTACTTATACTCCTAGATGTAATACTTAGTTTGGGTTTTTAGAAATTAATTTTGAACACTCGAACAATAGTGCTCTCTGATAAAAATTATAACAGAACATAATGTTTTCTGAATAGTTTGGACGATGATAGATGATTGTTTCAGGTGAATTTATGTTCGATAGTAAGATCTTACGTATTTTTGATTTTTGTTCTGGGCTAATATTTTTTTATTCAATGAAATTTACTCTTGTTTTAAACATCTACTGGAAATTCTTTTAACGAATAAAAATCAAATATTTTGAGTAAAATTAGACAATACTCCACAACAATAACTTATTATTCATATAGTTACCTTTCAATATCCTCGTTAATCTTTATCTTTATTCGTTTACTGTTTTGTCTCCCCATCACTTGGGTAAAAATGGCAATGCCTACCGAATGAACTTCGATTGTTACTTGCTAGTTAATTGGTTGATTTTTGTTCACCTCAATTTCTACCTTCCTTTCCCCTGTTCCTTTTTCTTCTGCTGACAAATGTTCATAGCCTGTTCATCGATTTGAGATAATCAGTCGAGTCGTCTAACGTTTATCCTCTAATAACTGAACATTAACATGTTAAATACAAATCCGAAATAAAAATGTTAAGCCGATGATATTACCTTGAAGATATTCCATTCTATTTAGTAGGGTATCATGTATGCAGCATAATATATATTCCTAAATTGTGCTAAATATAATATCGATTAAATGGTGATTTTTGCTAGCTGTTTGATTCAGTTTCTCAATCGGCCTTACAAATTATCTTCAAAATTTCCGTATTTTGCAACTATATTAGAGTATAAAAATGAATCTTTGTTGTTCCCTCTCATTTTTCATCTTACGTCCATATACTTAGTGAACCTGTTGCGGAGATCATGCAAACTGTTCTTTTATTCTTTACTTATTTGTAGATGGTTGCCCAGATCATTGTAATGGACACGGTCAATGCATCATGAATATATTGACTAATTTTTATTATTGTCAATGTTCTCCTGGTTGGTCAGGTAGTGCGTGTCAACGACAAATCGAAACAATATGTGATGATGGAATAGATAATGATCATGGTAAATTTAGTCTATTAAATAGCCTTTAAGTTTTTAAATAGTATCAAAGATACAAGAACCGTCTAAGTTTGGACAAACAGTCTCACAATAATTGGACGCCGAGTTAATAGAATATATTAAAAAGGAAATTATATTCGTACAAGTCTCAGTGATTGATAGATTTAATAATAACTCCAACGTTTCCCTCGACAATCAGGTCCAAGCTAGTCTGTCTTTTTTTAGTATCACAGGGAATCTCTCAAAATCTAGGTCATTATTAAAATATAACACAAAGCGAATGATTTTATTTGCTTATTTGTAATATTTCTGTCAAGAACATTATTGGTTTATTATTATTATTCACTATTTAACTACACAAACATTGATATAAGGGAGCACCAAACATATATACGCCAGACTTTATCATTCGATTTATGTAAGGGCTGGGATATTGCCTGGGCTCCCAAACAGAAGCAGGTGGTTTTCTTAGAGGGCCACTCCCCGAGCCTTGACGTAGAAGTCTAATCCACAAGGCAGTGGAGATGCAGTTTCATGGTAGCCGGTGACCAACAATAAGTTCATACGCCATTTGTTCTGGAGCCCATGTACATCAGTGGTTTGGAATCAGGATCTTCCAACTCCCCTAGGATGATTCTCCAAACATTCGCTTTTTGTCCTCTCAATTTCACAAACAATACACCATCCTCGATAAGGCAGTGAGTAGGACTTCCCCGACAGTGGTCGTATACTCGTGGCTATGTGAGGGCATTTCAAGAGGGAGGGCGGACTCTCCCCACCTCCGACCGTACCAGGAAATTTGGGGTTATATTATTGGTTATAAACCACTCGAAATACACCGGACGTAACAAAATTACGAGAAGTCAATGCTTCTTACTTGTTGGATGGGTAAGAAGAGACATGACAAATACACGTATATAGAGCTGAATATAACTATTTTTTTCATTGTGAAACAAAATAAAAATTTCAAAATATTCCTCTGCATGTTATGGGTTTGTAACATTCGTGTACTCAGCTATTATTCATACTATTTGTATTTGAACTAGCAATAATACTCGGCCTCTCAAATCCAAATAACTAGTACTGTTGGATTCAAACGTGCGAACTAATGGTTAGAAGTCAATTGCTTTGTTTTCTGAGTAGTGACTTCGCAATTACATCTCATACTGTCCCATAATTATTCATTGACATTATGTTAATTAATTTCTTTATAATCTATCTACATTATTATTACGGTTCATATTTGTCCTATAAACATCACCATCATCATGACAGCAATAAGATAATAATAGCATGAGTAGTATCTCGAACCATTCAGTATTCTGTACAAAGGGTTGCACATTCAGTACTTTATACACATATATTACCAGCCCTACCTATAAACAAAACTAATGAACGTAAACGGAGTCCTTTTTATAAAAATTGATCTTTTGCTTATATAAAAATAAAACATTTTCTTATAAAATATCTTGTTACTATATGCATGGAAAATGTTCCTTATGACTGATCGAATATGGAACTATTTTATTATCGTGTACTGATTGGAATTATATCTTTCTGTCAATATAGGATGTTGACAGTTAGCATTAAAAACAAAAAAAATGCTAAATAGTTGGGAAAAAAGTCATCATACATGTATATATGTAAATGTGTATGATCTATCTCATTCTTCTGATATATATATATATATATATATATAATACTTGTCACACTGTATTGGCTACGTTTTTTTAGTCTAATATTCTTGTTCAATACGAGCCTATCTCCCTGTTGACTCCATGTCGTTTTGAAAACGAGTGTCAAGACAAAATAAAATGTATTTGGTGTTTTTTCTATCCTTCAAAAATCTGTGGTGTTCATCTGAATTTATTTCATAATAAATAAATGATCTTGAGACTAGTTAATTTTAGTAGTTGTTCTTACCAATTACTTAGTTATACATTAACAATGGGTTAAGAGTTTTTGAAACAAAAAATCTAATAATTTTATATTGTGATGTAGAAATGAATTTCCAGTTTTAAAATACCACTCATAAATCTGTTGTTTCATTTCAATACACTACATCTTGGTAGTAGTCATCAATGTAGGTGTTGAACAGAACTCTTAAGTTGACTATTTAGTCAGTCAAAATTTGAACTATTAAATCATATTAGAGTTTACGACATCCTCAAATTTCATTATTATTAATCTACGAATAGCACAGGACTAGTAAATTAACCGTTACTATTCTTGCTAGGTTTTAATGGATATAAATGACACTTGTTTCTAAAGATGAACAAGCAAATATCCAGTACTTGTTGTTTCTCCCAACAAATTTTTTGGTTTTATTAACTTAACATGTAAACGAACTACTTGTATGGGTGTCGTAACATACATTGTTAAACTGAAATCTATAATTAAATAATCATAGATGGATTTATTTTTGGTATAGGCAAGTAAACTATTATTCTTGAATAACCCAAAGGAAACACTGAATAGATCAAACTCTGTATAAATCATTAATTCATTTACCTCAAAAAAACCTTTTTTTTTAAAAATTTTTCGCACTGTCATTGCATCGAAGGGAAAAGTGTAGAAACAATCAATTAGATATTTCCAGTCACTCTCCCATATATATATATATATATATATATATATATATATATATATATATATATATATATATATATATATATATATATATATATATATATATATATATATATATATATATATTCTACTTTTCTGACAGTGTCTGTACATAATTCACTTTCAGTGACAACTCCCTGTGTAGATTATTTGTATATTTGAACATAAGCACTCACATTTGACATTTGTTTTATTGCTTAACTATTCTATAACGTTTAGGAGAAAATATTTTGCTTAGTTAGCTATGCGTTAATCTACGAACTTCATGTTATTGACAAAATTATACAACTTAATGATAAATGTACTAGCTAATACAAGTTATAGATATAATTTTATTGTGATACGAATAATAAACCAATCTACTTAGGCTGTTCCTTGATCTCAAATGATCGTCTTTGTAGTAGTAAATTAAATGTTAGCTATTTTTATTTCATTCATGTAGAAAATAATAATGTCTTCATAAATGAAAAAAATCCGTGCTTGAATATTTAATTCCCATGGACTGCAGTGATATCTTCATATTTATACAGACTAGCCAACGAACTGTAACCGGGATACTGCTTTTTTTCTAATAACTGATAAAACGTTTTTCACTCAGGTAGTACAACCATACGATAGATAGTACAATATCTTTTTTCATCTCGAGGGTTCACAGCCGCCCAGTTAATTTCTGTAGTTGATCGATAGACTTCAACTACCACGTACAAACAAAGTGCTTAATTTCTCTTCCCACTAAAGAAGCTTGAGCTACCTTCAGATAATAAGTACGAAACATGTTCATCACTTTTTTATAGCTAACAGCCTATGTTTAACAATATTCTTTTCACGTATATATTGACACTTATTTGATTATTTTCCGATTTCTTTATGCATATGTAGGAAAAAGCACAAATATATTTACCTACGATATCTTTATACCTCGAACATTCGTATAATTCAGTGTGGTTAACGACGGTTCATTCAGTCAATATTAACTGACCTTCTAATATTTCATCCTAATGTATATCAGATCTCTGTTCAATTTAAAATGTACTTATCCTATATACAATTTGTCTAATGATTGTTGAACCCCAGTCGATTAAATTTTGTATTTTTCAAACGTCTTTCTGATAATTATACATCTAAAACCATTCAAGTGTAAAATATGAGTCACGAGGATTCTGTGCAATTAACATCTCTAGGTTAAGCAATATTGCATGCGAACATTACTGAATGAGTTTAGCATCTAGATAATTATTGTAAATCAGGTTGCACTAGACGACCTTATTGTCCCGATTTAGACGGCTTAGCAGATTGCACACCTACCACGTTATCTAGGTAAAGTTGATCCATGATTTATACTGTTTAATGTTTACATTTATCGACTTTTATCATAATTTTTAGCTCAAGAATAACGTAAGTTATATAACCATAATATTTACACAGAAAACAAACAATTAGTTTAGTTACTCAGAATCAAACTATCTTTTATTCCTTTGGTTAATTAAGCGATTAGTTCTGTTCACCTGTGACTCACTAGTGAACTTTATTAAGTATTTCCTTTAAATAATTCTGTAAATATTTAAAGCCTGCTAAATGTAGTTCAGTATAAGCTTATTTGGTCTTTTTTATGGACTGGTTTTTCTCTTGTTGTTTATAGTACCGTTATTTACCCATACGTTCTTACAAAATGTACAAACATTGATAATATCTCTTAATTTATACAACTGATAATTTAGGAAATATGTATCTCTTATGAGACTAATTATTATTTGCAAATTGTTGGAATTTTATGCCCATTATTATGAGATGTCTATTTATATATAAATTGACAATAACACTCATTTATACGAAAAAAAGACACAATTCGTTCATTAATTGTTATGTCTCTTATTATAATAAAAAAGCACATAAAGACGCCTCTCTGTCATCTGTTTTTGTAAATCTTAATGTTCACTACATAATGTAAATCAAATTACATTCAGAAAATTACTGTAATAGTAGTTATTATTACTAGTATTGTTATTTTCCAAGGCTCCTACATAATGTTTGTTTCTGATTTCCTGACCTCTTTCATCAATAAAATCCCTGTTACTGTGAGCTTACCATCTAAGTCCGTGCCAAACATCATCCTTGTGTTGTATATGACAACTTATTCACTTATGATACCAAGCATGTATTCATTGAATCTATGTAAGTTGGCCTCCTGATTTCGTTAATGGTAGTCATGTATACGAGCCCAACCTGTTACTTAAGTTTGAAGACAAGAAATAGGTATGAATCAAAATATACACCATCCCATATATATATTTGTTATGACCTTGGATGTCTGACTTTTCGATCACACGACCTATCGACTAATCCGGATACGACTTATACGGATCTTCACACTAGGCCAACCAATGACGTTCAACCGGTGTGGGCAGTTCAGCGTCCTTATTGGTCCTATGTCCTACGAGCCCTTCCACTTGAGTCCAGAACAAGATACCAGCTTCCGAATCAGAGCAGATCGTTTATTTCAGGCATACTTGGTTTATATATCAATCACACAGACCGCAACGTACCATAAAATAGGAAATAATATTTGTACACAAATAAGCCCAAAAAGTGGCTGTGAATGTGGGAGGCAGTAGTTAATAAACTGAACATAACTTAAGAACCGTAAATCGTACAATAATAAATTATAGGCCAAAATAAAGCTTGTCATAAGAGGGGTATAAATATACATAATGTAATTGTTGAATAGTTATACAATAAGAATATTTATAGAATATTAGTCCATGAATAGTCCTCGGAAGTTACCTGTAATTTAATCTTCACCGGATATAACAATATTAAAATAGATTACTAGCCAGTTGAGTATATAGGTAAACTTTACTTTATAATTATTCGAACTAAAACACATTAAACTATTGAAATGGTATAAAAAGTGTTCTTTATTATTCATGCTATTTAGTTGCGAAATGCTGATAACCATGAATCAAATCAAGCACCGCCTCTATGAAGTGTAGATCTATCGATTTCTGTTCCGAATTTCTTTTTAATTATATTTCGCTGAGAAATCTAGTTTAGCATGCTGTATAACCAGTCTTTGTAGTTGTCCATTTTGTCGTTTGTTTCGGCCGTATTGACTAATTTCTTTAAGCTCCATAGTTGTTCCGTTTCAGTCTTTTAACAAAAACAATTTGCGATATTTTTGTTCCTTTTCGTTATTATACATTTGATAAACTATTGTTAATAACCAACGAATATTTATATTGTTGTTATCCTTCTTTTTACCAAAAAACCTGTATATTATTTTTTACTGCACAGCTTGGCGAATGAAATCACTGGAAAGGGATCCCTCCCTTCAAGCACACACACATTATTGTTCAATAAGTGTTTTTTATACAGATATGTAAACTATCCACACTTAATCATACTAAATACTGTTTTCCTCTTGTCCTCTATTTCCTTTTTCTCGGTTAGATGATCTTGTTGATTGTTTAGATCCCGATTGCTGTACATCGACACATTGTGACCGACTCATTAAACTTGGTCCAAATGCTGGTGGTCTAGCTGCTGATAACGCTCAACAAAGTTGTGCACATAGTGAATCATTTGATTATTACTTATTAATTACACCGATTGCACCCTTGGACAGTGCATTTTATGGCCAATTAGAATTCCTTCTAAGACGTGAACGTATTGTTGTAGAGAACTTTGATCCCAGGTTAGAACAATTTCTGTTAATATGTTGGATTTTTTTAATAGAAAAAGTTATTTCTCAACTTGTACCTTTAGATTTCCGTCACCTTCCACTACTGTTATTATTTTACTTAAATTCGATCTTATTTTCGTTTTAAAATTCTTTGGTTATTTATTTTCGTATTCTTATTTATTTATTTGTTGATTTATTTATCTATTCTGTTACTGATGTTAATATTTATTTCTTCTCTTGGCGTTTAATTCAATAAGTTTTGATGGCCATAAAAATTATTTTTATTAATGGACCTTCAATTTGATTATTTTACTCAAAGTTTATGTATTATGTTTCAGCTTCAAGAATTTAATTCACCCAACAGCGTAGATGTTCATTGACCCAACTATTCAGATCATTTCAGAACGACGAAATGAATATAACAAGAGCTGCGAAAAAAGATCTCAATAATTTAGTGACAGTAACACTAAGAAAAACCGAACATTGATAAAATGATCTCAAATGACATGATGGAAAGGAATAAATAAAGGAATTCGGGTATTAAATCGGGAAGTAGATAGAGTGAACGCATCTGTTTTATTGTGAGGGATTCCGATCTATGTTGTACGAAATCTTTAACTACTGATTGTGTTTACTGCACAGACCCTAACCAAGTAGTCTGGATTTACTAACGTGGATTGGGCCAACAGTCAGTAACTTCATAGACTGATGCCACGTTTTTAGTTTGATCGCCCCTAGATTTCCACCAACTTATTTCTACAGCAGACAAAATCACCTTCTAGCTAGGCTGTAGTTAGGCATATATAACGCATGTTCCAACCACCTCATTCATGTTTCACAGCTTTTCAGAATCAATATCCTTATTCAGTGAATTAAGCTCGATGATTATCATTGAACTATTCATGATGAATGTCTCCTCCGCTGTCCTATTCTGTTCACCAGCTTAGTGATTTTCCATTTTTCCTAATTAATGTATACAAACTATTACCGAAAATTGCAATATTTGTAACTGTACTACGGTATACAACATCAGAAAGTGACTTCAAAATAAAATGACCCAAGTACGTTACGTGCAATGCATATATCACTTTGAAGTCTTCGGAAACAAACAGTTATACTGGCCAGTAAAAAATTTTTCTAGTTAAATCAGTAGAAGAAACTAGGCTAGTTCATACTCAAACATCGAAGACTGAACGAGTAGAAACTCATCAAGTAGAAAAATCTCTAAAAATTAGTCAAGTATGAAGATAATGATTAGAGGAAAATAAGTTCAGTCTAATGTTTCATTAGTATGGTGCTTTAGATATTACTGTCTTTCCTTCACACTTCTTGTTAATTTCTTTTATCTACAGTTTTGAATGTTCCAAATCTTTCTAATAACCAAAGCTTTCCGCTAAAACATTTTGTTTTTGTTGACTAGTCTTAGGCTTTCTGTCGACTGGTTTTTGCATATTATAGACAAGCATTTATTCCATATTTTTATTTTATGTACCACAGTTCGTCGGATGTAAAATCGTCCATTAACGAAGTGACTTTTTTAAATGTCCAATTACTTAATATATACATCATAATCTTAGTAGACACTTACAATGTTCTCTTAAAAAAAACCCTGTACACTCAACTAGTATTTTTTGTATTGCGAACCTCTGAATGCATTTAGTGATGGTGAAATGTACGCAGCGTAATTTTTTTAAAAACAAAATCCTACGGTGTTTCCTACTTATTTCGTGACTACGGTGCGTTTTTTTCGAAAAGGCATCTCATCTACAGAAAGTGATAAAGCCATTTTGTCAACATTTTTTTAGTTCATATTGTAAGTATTAAAGAGCTGGAATACTCCTAAAAATTGATTTTCCTGAATCTCAAGGTCATCCGCGAGCATGTCATAGACCTTGAATTTTGTTTAAATAACCCCTTTTATTCAAAACATGTATTTCCATTACTATCATCTTGATTTTATTTGAATTATTTTATAGTAAGCATCAAGAATCGAGGTGTCAATACCATCAAGATTCGATTTCAAGGCTTAATTTCCAAGCTTAATATTAGGTCTACAAGTTGGGACAAACAACATTCAGAGATTAACTGTAATTATTATATTTCGATGCCAATAAAAGCCTACATATTTTGTCACCAGTTATTTAATATATAACTAAAAAATCTATCACCTCGCTCATCAGTTTCATTAAAATAAACAAAAACGCAATTAATCATTTAAGATTTTTATAAAAGAAAACATTGGATTACTAACTTACTGGGATGATTTTTTCATACACTTCATAACTTACTTTTGTAATTTCAGTATGCTATTAGCTTCTACAAATCCATGTATATTTGAACTACATTCGCTTATTATTTGACAGCATTACTGTTATTTTATTTTAATTACTTTAAATCGTGTTGTGCATTCACATTGTTCAGACGTATTTCCGTTGTTCGTGGTGTGGTTCGTCAGTGGGATGGAACTGTATTTTGGGGTTGTCGTGTATCCGATCGAGCTAATATGCAAAATGGATATACACTAACTGATAAGAATGGAAGGTCAGTTAATTTTCCAAATTCGAATTACTAATTTAATATAAGTTCATATAATCAGCTTTAAAATACGGTTTTACCTCTGAGCCCTAGTAGTCATAACAATGTTCAAACTTGTTATCCAGTAGGTGAAAGTCGAGTGGTTGATGCACTATTGAGTAATTTGTATCAAATAATTCATTTGCTTACCTTGACTTTTGTATGTGAATAAAGAATCGATATAGAAAAGTGGTAGGCAAAGAGTATATTCTCTACTTCTCTGTTATTAATGAACATATAATTTTAATGGGAACCATCGCAGAAATGTTCATTTGTTTCCACTGACAGAACTCTTTTGTGTATATATGTATCAATCGAACAGTGTCAAAGCTGGAATTTTAATGTATTATACTTAATGTTTAATCAATGTCATCGATTAAGTGTGTAAATTGTCATAACGTTTAAAGAAGTTGGTTACAAGTTTTGGTTTACCTACAGTTTCATTACGAGGTTGTATCCCTCGTCTTTCTATGTGAAAACAAAGGGTTAGTGGTGTTTTAACCCACTACTATACAGTAGCAAGTGTTTTCAGTGAACAAATGTTTATTTAACCACGACAAAACACCAAACATTGTTGTTACTTTGTCATTCAAGTCTTTGGTCAACTAGAAAAGTCCCCCTCCGAACGGTTCTTGGAAATAATTATGGATCGTAGTTCTGATTACTCAAAATCGACCATAGGATTAAAGTTACAATCGCTTTCAATCTTCCTTACTATTGTTAATTCCTTTACCGTTCATATGCTTCTTGTTTATTGTGTATGTGTCTTGACATTTCCGTTAATGTGCTCTTGCTGTTCTTTCAAAAAATGTAGCATCCTAGATCGAAACTAGTTTGAGTGAGGTCCTAACCCTAGTTTTTTCTTTTTACCGTGTCCCGTCTTCAAAGTATCATATTATGCAGCTCATTAATCTTTTTGTGTTCGTTTTTCGAAATATTTATTGCAGATTTGACTTACCAGTTGATGGGGGAACAATTGTTCAGTTAGAATTCTTACGGTATCCGACTGATCGATTTTCAGCCATACATAATTTATATGTCCCTGTTAATCAAATTGTCAATATGGGTGATTTTTATATGTATGATGCTAAACAATTATCACATAATGACCTACCCACAACAATAACAACGAAAACTACTACAAATAATATTATATCAGGGGATTTTGGGGGTACACTTGGTCCATCACCAATACACGGGGATCTATGGATTATGAACAGTTTTATGCCCAAGTTCTCAGATAAAGATATAGTCGTAGAAAATTTATGTATTAGTGGAAATATACATGACATAGTTACACTTGGTGGTCCTTATATCCAAAGCAATTCATTAATGGATATTTCTACTATTTGCCTAGATGAGCAAAATGTCATATGCGTCAGAAATGGAGCATTGATGTATAATATTCCGATAAAGGTTTGTTAATTTTTTCATGAATATTTTGTAATCATTTGATCGGTAATTTCAGTTTGGAAGATGAAAAGAACCGAATATTTTTATTAATCTTTATAAAGAGATTCGTGTAAGGTATACACCGGATATGCCACCATCCGCCAGCTAGTAAATCCACACAGTGAAAGCATTCTATTTAGGTATACAATAATTGAATTTCACCTCAATTCGGATATTTCGCTTTCAATAAATAAACTTACTATTTTTACAGTTTTGTTGTTTATATAGTTGCTAAGGCATTTTTAAAGGTCATCAGTGTGAAATTTTTAAGTCACTTCCGGTGATTGTTTTAACAGAAAAAGCGAATAATTAGATAAAAGGGTAAGTATATTAAACAAATATTCTGATCTGAAATTAGACCTTAGGGCTATTTAATTTTTCGGACGCTTGGAGTATTATAAACTAGAAAACCACTATTAATACAAATTCATTAAATGTGAATGACCAGCGTTTACTCCAGTCAACCAAATTCTCATTTTAATTGTATATCTGTAATCATATAGGATACACAACTGCGGCTTATATACCGTTCCGATCGCACTTCCGGTTACAAACCTGGCATATCTATTCATTTATTAGCATCGAATCGCGCTCCACCTTTGAATTTGAAAGAAATTCACCTAGTAATTGATATTGCTGGTCAACGCCACGTGAAGCTTTTAGAACCTGAACCTGGCTTACTAAACACTTTCTACTGGAATAAAACGGATGGTTACAATCGCTCTGTTTATGGTTTAGCTGAAGCTAAAGGTAAGTATCTGTTTATATTTTTATTTGAAGCTATTTTTTCATTGACAAATCCACGATATATCGTAAAGATTCGATTGCTTCTAGTGTTCTGATACAATGTTTGAAACCGTCTCAAGCATATATCTTAACGTATGAACTACTTTATTTAAATAAAGATTTTTAAAAACTACACTTGTGTATTATTGCTGAATGTGTTCTATTATCTCTCTTCTTACATTTCTATGACCTGATTGCATTCACCTTTCCAGTTTATATGATTCAAATCATTAAAGAAATCTCTTTCCATCGCTTAATATCATATGTTAGTGGACCGTAATCGGGATGGCTACTTTGTATGACTTCGCAAGAATTTATTTGTAGACTTTATTGAAGAAGTACTTTATGCTAAATAAAACGTTAATTACAACTCGAAAAAAAAGGATTTCCCACCGTAACTGATGTTCACATAACCAACATCAGTTTACCTAAAAATTCCCCTCATTGAGGTAAAGGACCACTGTCTAACTAAGAACTATGAACTTATTGGTTTTGATAAAAATTGATAAATGCACAACAGAATGAAATAAACCTACACAAGATCATGCAATTTTAAACGATCTACTTGCTTTATTGACATTTATCAAACAAGAAACTAATCAGGCAACAATTTGTTGTATAGTATGACAACTAAGTCAGAGAACTGATGAAAATTTTCTAGTAACACATATTTTCACCTAGAAACCGACACAAATTAGGGTTATTTTTGTTCACTGATTGGTACTGTTGTAAGGATTCTTTAAACTGCTTAAACAAAAAATAGTAACCTACTGCCCTCCACAGACTAACTGTGAGGCTATATGGTGTTTAAAAATTAATGTATTCTGTTATTAACTTTCATTCTAAAAGAAAGCTTTTGGTTAATATGCTAATAATTAGACCATGTGTGGCTTTTTATATTATCGAATAAGTTATTATTGTTCTGAGTAATCGTAAGTATCTTCTATGATCAAAATGTTCTAAACTCGAATATCACAATTCTATCACTACTACTTACCATCAACTTCGTAACTATTTCATTTATTATCTACAAGTTTAAATACAACCTTTTTGGAAATACTCACACATAGAAAAACAATCGTTGTAATGGAATAGGAAATATCCCATTTAATTAATGATTAAAAATGAAATCAGTGAGATTGTAACATAATTATGGAAATTGATATTTGAAAAGTAGCAATAAAGAACTTGTTTTAATTTCGTAAAATTCCTTTCAGCGAATTAATCTTTCTTATTTTGTAATAATAGTCATCTCGATTAATCATCCTTTTTTGGCGCCTTGTAACAAATGTGAAGAAGTTCAGCTGTCAATTGATAAATTCAATATCATCCATTTAGATTAAATAAGCTTTAGTCTACATTTTTTGAATACAGAATTGAAATTTCTCAATTTTAAAACATAACATTGTTTGGTTCACTTAAAATGAATTTTCTTTAAGATTAGCCTAGTGATTTTTCCACATCACAGAAGATTTTGTTCGTAAATTATAACAATGAATATTTCATACACACAAACATATTTTTGTTATCATGACATCACGACACTGGACTAAAATTAGTTAAACCAATGAATTTGTTCAATAGATTGTAAATTGTTCACCTTAATGTTGATTGTTTACAATTACTTTTCTAATTTTGATGAATAAGTTGTTTTACAACACTTAAAGTTTTATTGGAACTCTAACATTGAACAACAAATAATTCTGTTTATATAAAAATCAGTTCCTGTTTAGTGTGAATATAACGAAAAGATGAAACTACCAATATTTCTGATCAGATGATAATACCCATCAGAATCAGTCCATCAAAAAGTGTTAACTGGGCATTAAACTGAATAATACGCAGATTGGTGACGGAGCAGTAATCAATTTTATGCTATCCAATATTCAATACTGATCGAATTTCTTCATTTTGACATCCAACCAATGAAAATATATCCTTTAACACATTACAAATTAATTCACAGAATTTTATCAACAATTAAGTCTAGATAAATACATTACTTATTATTTAGTAATTAACCGGTGTGAAATATCTCAGTCCAATAAAAAGTCAGTCTCAGCCTGGATAGCTCAGGGTAAATGCAGCCGATTGTGATAGCAGATGACATGAGTTCAAATCCCATGACGAGTGTCCACTTCCTCAGTTTTACACACACCCTGTACCATTGAATGCCTAATAGCAAGAATTCTATGTGCGAAGCCTTTTGCCAGTAGCCACCTAGTATTTAAAGTGAATAATATTTGCAATACCAACGTCTTTTTGATCTATCATTTCAAGCAAACAATTCTTAATATAAATTTTACGTTTGAAAATTATTAAGCTCAGTCATTCTTTTATTTCTGTTGGTATCAATAACTTTACGTTTAACTGTATGTTGACCTAATCTTGCGAAATTTATGTTACGACTAAATCCCTTTTAATCTTTTTTCTTAGTATCTGTTGGTTATGCATACACGAACTGTCCACGTATTTTCTGGGAATATCGAGTTGTCCAACTACCCGGAAGCGAACTAATCAGTTCAGATTTAGCTAATTGGAATTTAAATATTTTACATACGTATGCGGTTAGCCATGGGATTATTTATCGGTAAGTTCCACTATACGAGCATTTATATTATGCAGTGGTGATATGGTTAGTAAAATATCTGAATAACTTCTGATAATTTCAAATTAATTAGGCATTGGGTGGATTGTTTATGATAATAAAGCTTGTATTGATCTAATTCCGTTAATTATTTATTCTGTGAAGAAGCGGCTTACATTAGGTTCTCGAATATTAGAGATTCAACTTTCTACATTCTGGGATATAGAAATTTTTTGTCACACTGAATACGAAGCTGAATTTGACCAATCGATTAGTGTGTGTGAAGCCAATCAAACTCCAGATTGTAACTGTTCGAATGTCAAAGATCAAAGCTGATAAGCAACCGATTGAATTATCGCTAAGAAAATGAAGCCTCTTACTCCATCGTGTTAAGAATTACTGTACTGGTGAAAAGCACATTGATTTCGTCATGAATTTCCAAAGGAGATACATGTAGAAAAGTACACCAAGCATCGTGAGGTTCCCGCTTGTATTTAGCTTCGCAAAATAGAGCTTTAGTACAGTAGGCGCTGAACATACATGATTAATTAATTAAAATAAATAAAAAACCGAAACATTTCCTGGGATATTTGCAAGGTTGAAAAAATAGATGTTTCATCGGGACATCAAAGATTTGGCTACTGGGTACATGGTTTATATATATATATGGCTTAATTATTATTTCGTTTAATTTTGTTAAGCGGTGATGGTTCACATTTCTACTTGAAACAAACAGACTGGCATATTAGTGCAGTCATTGGACTAACTGAACAACGTCGACCGCCAAACGACTGTAGTCAATGTTCAATTAATGATAAACCAACTCGACAATTATCTCTACGTAACCCATACTGTTTACTAACTGATTCAGTTGGCAATCTTCTAATTGGAGATGGGGGATTTTTACGTTGGTTAAATTCAACTAAATCAGCCGAGGAGTACAAGTAGGTTAATTTGTAATATTCACTTTTTATTTTTTTCTTTTATATATTTGTTTTGGATACATTAAAATTGTGTAACGAAATAGATTAATAAAATGAATGTTATTCTCTGTGTTGTGTTCAATCTGGTACTAATCTATAAGCAATTACATTAAACTTAAATCGTTTACTCTAGAAACTTTGCTTCCGCCATAAATACTTTCTGGAAGTTACATATCACTTAAAATACTGTTTTGTCCTTGTTTGATAAACTATTATTTTATGTCATCCATCTTTATTATCCCTGAAACTATACTTAGACTTTGTAGAACTATAATCATCACTATGTATACATCGCTTCTTCAATGACCAGGAAAGACCAAGAATTTCAATTTTCATTAGATTATGAAATTTTTTCAATTAAAAAAACTGATTTTGTTTTCGTGTAATTATAACTATCGAGTTAGGTCTGCCGACTGCGAAATTGACATTTTCACTGAGTTTCCTAAATTCATTTGTTCATTACATCCCAAAGATCAGAAATCAACTATAATTTGTACTGCCCAACTTTATATTGAATAAATATTCTTTTCTTAATTCAAACGTCATAAAATTCTTTCTCTATACTTATCTTTCAGGTCTTCATCAGTGTTATCGTCTTCTTCACTATCTTTTAGAGCGCCACTGATAAGATCAGATTCACTAAACAGTCCATTTCAAGAACAATTGAAACGTAATGATCGTAGAAGATGGGAAACAATAATTGATTACAAGCTTGACTTTCTTCAATCTAATTTTGATGAAGATCAGTTAACAAACTATTTTATAACTGTTCATCCAAATTATATATATCGTACAAACGATTACACTATGGTAACATTATTAGGGAACAGTGGAAATGTTGGTGGAGCAGACCTTTCAAATGGATTATTCCTGTCACACACGAGTAGTAAAAGCATATGGTGGCTAAAAACTACACCAGATTTATCAGCACACTTACTTATTGGAGGAAATTGTCAATCGCCAAGCTCTAAATCTAACATTAATTCTGAATCATCGTCCTCAACTGCATTCAACTACCAAGAGTTCTGTATTAAACAGAATTTGACATCCCCTAAAGGAATTGTCGCTACACAAACGGTGTGTGCTTGTTTATTTTTGTTGTACATAAACTATCTTACAGCTCCATTTTGCTGCACTCAATAGTTTTTGTTGGGTGATTTGCAGAAATATAAATTTAGTGTTGAGCGAAAAAAAGAAATCTAATGGGAACTCTTTGATTTATTACTTTATGTAAGATTTATGTTTTCATTTCTGCTACCACATATAGATCCTTACCACGTCGTTTAAATGAGAAACTGTATCTGCGAACTATTTAGATGTAATTTGAATGCACGAAACGTACACTTCCTAAATATTACCTCCAATAATACTCATGTATAAAGCACATATATAAAGCATCCAACTGTAATTTAACTTAGTGGTCTAATCAATTTTTTGGTTGGTAGATAGTGGTTGTTGATCTCCCTGGTGTAAATAAGATATCTAGCTTCATTACCTATTCATTCATATTTGTTTACTCTGTGATAATACGGACCATCTTCTATGATTACTCGTCTTACCTGCAATCGATTTCATGAAATCTGCCTCTTGAATCCAGAACACTATTGATTCACTTCATTTCGAAGGGTCAATTGATATAAATCAAATGTGCATGAAATTGTTTTTTGTGTCAGTTGAATTTTTATTCAAACACATATTAAACAATTTCGATTTTCTTTTTATTATTTAAAGAAAACTAATTTTATTATTAATTCTGGACATTATTGTTCAGTACAATTTTATCTGCGAACACCTTAGTTACTAAACCAATCAACAATGTTATTATCTCTTACAGAATGTGTTATCCAATCATATTAGCGACTCAATCAATCCATTGCTTCATAGATAGTATTTTAGATAGACCAAATTTACAGAACAAGTTATTAATACTAGCACAGTGTAGTATGAAGTATAATTTCGGTTCAAATGTTTCCGTAAATTGTATACTACTGGCAAGTAGGTAAAACGTAATTAAAACAATAAATAAGAAAACTGTATTTCACTCTATAGATTTCACAATACTTGGTAACTGAACAAATTACTTGCTTTATTTCAAGTCATGCATTAATTGATTATATACATATACGTTCTATTAAACAAATTGGGATAGAGATACTCGGTTTTTTTATCAATTGTTCGTGAACTAAATAAATAAATATGTTTCAAATTTATTTGTAGACTGTTTATTAACAGCATTTATCAAAAAGTCGTATAATATGGTACATTTTGTCTCATTTACTTGTATAATATTGTTTTTTTTATAACGGTTTGTTTGTTTTAAGTTTGTTTATACTTTTCGTTCCCAATATAAATATATAGGAATTGTATTTTATTGATTCTCAATCTATTTGGTCATTGTCGTTACGGCAAACTGGTTCTAGTACGATCCCATTTTCCCGACTTGTAATTGGAAGTGATCCAAATTATTTATCAAATCCAAAGTCACTTAACACAACTACCTCAGGGACCAGTATTCCAAAAACAACTCCATCTTCATCGACACCACCTTGTGACCGATCTGTCCCGGGAAATCAGATGTTGTTAAATAATCCTGAACACTTGGCATTTAGCACCTTAGAGCAAACATTATACTTCTCTGATAACGACCATGTAAGTTTTTATAATTATGAAAAAAACCATTTTGCTTGAAATACTGACTTCGTTAAACAACTCATTAATAATATTTTTCCCCTAAAACCATCTGTTAGATGCTAAATGACTGTATAATACCTGTTAAATAATTATTTAGTCGAGGCTATGAGCTGTCTAACAAATATAGTATGAATGTAGTATCAGTCAGCAACTTTCAACTAAGTTTAAAGTAAACACTATCTCCCTCTGTATTCCAGAATAAATTAATTCTTACAAAACTCACAAATCTGTACAGTTTCTACAGATTTGTTAAAAGTTATTGGGAATTACACTAATCGAATGGCTGATAAAGTTTCAGATATAATCATAAACCTTTCCCCTCATAGGTCACATTCTGTAGTAATATGTACACTCGGAATGATCTTAACCGTTCATGAATAATGATCAAACTTCTCTCATTGACTTAAAGTGAAAGTGCACTAATACCTGCCTGTTGCTCTGTGTAATCAGAAAAAACTTTATCGTAATAAATATGTAGATCGCTTCTTAGCATTGCTAATTACCAAAAGTTTATCTCTAAATGAGACCACTATTAACTTCGGACAGAATTATTACTAAAACTTAACATCATGTTGATTGTCTTCAAATGATTAACGAACCTCGTGTTTATCAGGAAATCTGTTCGATTAATTTTGATAGATTATGAGCTCACCATGTCTTCAATATCATCTTTAATAATTTATATCAAATTTATCTAGATTTTCACTGTAATTTAAGTGTTTTAGAAGACTTTAATTGCAGTTTATGAGATAAGGTTGGGACCGTTTTAAAATCTATTACCTAAGAATCTGTCATATTTGAACAACTTATGATCAATCTGAGATTCGATTCTTTGCTGCACTCTGCACACTCAGTTAGGTACCCTTATGGTCTGACTATAAGTGGTCAGTGATATGAAAAAAGTGTAAGCCTTCAACCGAATCTTTGCAAAACACTTAACAAGAAATACTGGCGAACTTTTTGGTTTGGGTTAAGCTCAACCGAATGAGTTCATACATATACCATTGAATGAAATCATGTTTGTTAAAAATGAAGTATTGCTATTTGGTCATACTATATGGAAGACAGTTATGCATCTTTTTATCTGTATGTGTAATCAAAGGTAAATGGAGTATATTCAAGCTTATTCTTTTTTGAAATGTCGTTAGTAAGAAATATATTTACTTTGTTGAATTCCACATAACTAATGCTAAATCAAACACTATTAGCAAGTAGGCAAAGCGTAATTAGAACATTGAATAAGAAAATTGTAACATGTTAAAATCGAAAATATCAAATGTACATTATAATATAACTAAAAACGATAACTCTTTTTAGCGTTTGCTAATAATAATAATAGTCTTATTTCGCTTGCACTACCATCTAAAAACACAAAAATCTCGTTTGTTATTTTAACCAATAATTTGAGATATCTTATTAAGTCACCAAGTCGATATATACTAAAGTGACAGGTGTGTTAGTTGCAAATGATCTAACATTCACAGAAAATGGTTACGAATTTTTTGCTTAGATCCTATGGCAACCATTAGAATATATCAACAAATTGATAACATAACATTTAAAAAAATTTGTCGTAATAATTGTGAATATGTAATTGTTTTTTTAGGTTTATCGTTACCATTTAGTCAATCAAATGGTATCGTTAGCAGCTGGACGCCTTAAAGGCTGTCCTATTAAAACAGATGATTGGAGTTTTGCTCCACTGGCAACACAAGTTGAATTAGGTGATATTCGTGGTCTCAGTGTATCACCTCAAGGTGATTTGTTTATCGCGGGACCTCAGCATATATGGATCCGTCGGTCGAATGATAATCGCTTGTATCCTATTACTGGAATTCATCCTAGTCAACCTAGACAGTTCAAGGGAGATGTGAATAATTCAAAGAAACGTCATTCTAGCACTGATGAAAGTGTTATAGATTTAGGATTAGTCAATGAATTTTCATTTAACAGTATTAGCAGTATAACTGTCAGTTTATTTGGTGAACTATTTGTAGCCGATAATTCACATAACAGAGTAAGTTTAAAATATCAACAATACTTATACGGCTCTATTCTTATTTTGTTAATTTCCATAGAATTTTATTTTCCTTAATGATATCAACATCGAAGTTGCTTGAATAGCTAAACACAATGCCATCTTTACTCGTGTCAAAACATTTTTTGTGTTAGAGCAAGCTGTTCTACTGTGATACACGAAAAATGAATAGTTACCTTTGCCAACAGCCTGTTTGGTTGTGTGATTTCACGAGAGGCAATAGATTGTTTTTTGCTGTACAGTTAAATCTTTTCTAATGTGAGCCATACACTGTACAGATTGTGATTTTATTGCAGTGTTTGAGTTTCACTCTGTGGTGCTTTTGCATGATGCACGTTGTGCTACTGAATAAACCCTAAAAACACATAAGTTAGACATTCTAGTCTGTTTCATTTCAGCTGAATTTACTGTTCTCTTTTATTTGATATCCATGATTACGCATACTTTTGTTGTTAAATAAGTAATCTATCTATTCTACCGCATCTGGTCACTGTGTCGAGCGTATTTGTCTATCTTCATTGTACCACTTTCATAGGCTTTACAAATTCGTGTCAAGCGTCTTCTCGAAGGTCATTCTACCCTAGATAACAATAACAAATGGCTATCTCGCATTATACTGCTCTGGCACACTGTGTCCAGACCACTCAATTTGTTTGATAGATTAAGCTACTTTGTTTTTTCTATTTTTGTGGCCTATCTACGGACTAGAAGTCTTCCTCTTTTGTGTTTAATGGACGTAAATTATAATAAAAGTCAACCAATTTACTCAACAGTTATTGTTTAATGCGAAATCACTTCCATCACTAGTAGGAGCATCAAGAAACAAATTATAGTTGGGAATAAACAGTTGTTATAGATATTTGCTAGCAGTTGAGTCGTCTGATCTGAATGAAATCATTAAATGCTCTATCGTATCTAAAAACGAAAGGATTTTAAGTAACGTTTTTGCCACTTAAGTCTTCATAATTTCTATGAAAATATTCACTAAAATTTGACACTACGATTAGAACGGACAGAGATGGTTTTCAAACTTTGTGTTCACCAACTGATCCTAGTTTGACCATCACTGAAAATCTGGAATTGCTGGACGGTCGTTTCGTCCTAGTGCAAGACTCCTCTAAACTTGGACTAGCTTTTAGATATAATTCCTGGAGTTTTGGTGAAAAATCGTGAGCGACGGAGTTCAACCATGTTGAATATGAGACAGTTATCCAATCCTGGCACTGTGATAGTTGAGCAATATTGTGATTTGATTGAAATTGGACATTAATACCGTTGAATCTTGGCTGAATGGTCTAGAGTTTAGATGTTTATACACGAGACCTAAGTCCTTGGGTACGATTCCCGGTTGCGGGTCGTAAATACGCATTATTGGGCAGTCACATACTAGAGCGAAACGGCCATCCCCTGGTTCCAGGTTTTCAGTAGTGGTCAAACTAAAGTCATTTCGTGATATAGTCTTTGACGATTCTTTGGCCTCCACAAAACTCTACACTGATAAAAACGACTTTAAAACTTATACTTGGTTATACGACTAATGAAAGTGAATTATGTGAAGGCCCAATTAAACGCAAGTGATAGGTGGAAGATGTGTTTGCGGCAATACATTTATTTGTCGTAAATAGAGCACATACGGATTATAATCGATTTTCGTCACTGGTGTTACTGGCTTTCTATCATTTATAGGAAAACAGTCATTACATTCTGTTCTCAACTTAGCTGCATTTCTTAGATTATCCCCAAACAACGAATAATAACTGTAAAGTCAACTTAGTAAGTGAAAAAAAGGAGTTATAAATACAATCGCCAGTCAGTTTAATGTTCATATACCGAAGTTTAAAGTGCATTTTCGCCTTTATTTCATAAATATGAAAAAAGTAACAAAAATCACCACATGGTGCTCGAATATTGAAGACTATTGTTATACAAGGTTGATAAAACCGTGGATTCAAAAACACTTTTCGAATCTAGACAAACTAGTTAACCTATTTAAGCTTACTTATTCTTAGGATCCTTTAATTAAATAATCTGAGCTAGTTATGATAATAATCTTCAAAATTCTGAAAATATCTTGCAGGTCCTATTGGTTTAAAGTATGTTAGTGAAATATTGCTTTGACTGACAGTTCTTGGAAAATGATCATTCAAAGAATAGTTTTCACGTACCGATTTTATTTGAGTTATCTTTGAAAATGTAATGTCTACACCCTTACAAATCAAGTATTCATGCAGAATTATTATGGTTGAATAATTTTTCATGGCATTAAAGAGTTCTACCCCAGGTGGAGACACATTCCTATATGTTTGTCTGATTTAGTATTTATTTGCTCAGCCCATCGATACCTGTATTTCTGAATCCTAAACCACATTTTATTCTACCACATTATTTGATAGATCGATAAATTGAGACCAGTTTCAACATTTGATGCTGAAGATAAATTCTTATTTATAGACAGATACACTAGATTAATAAGGAAATGCTATTCTATTCTGTTTTTGGTAAGCTACTGCTTCAATAGTTCAGTGTTAGCATCTCTAGATGTTACACTGAGTGACACGCATTTGAACCCTATGGCTGGAATCATATTCTTAAAAATTGCAGATTTCTCTTGCTGACAAGTTTTAACAAAGATGAAACGCAAGTCCAGCGTGTCCCGTCCATTACCTGCAGTCACCTAGCATTGAAGAGAAGTGTACGAAATTCTGAGTTACTTCGCTTGATGACTTCATTGTAACCTATTCGGATCTCAACCAGAGCCAAGAATTAGACGTAATGACATCGATGTCAATTAATACTAGACTGTTAACTGATTTATGCAAATTTATTGCCAATATAGGGAACTCAGACGACTGTTGCATGTAAAATATCGATATCTGAATGATTTGACCAGTAAAATTCATTTTGCATTGTTTATTTGAATCTTCACATTGATGTTTAGGATTGCGATTGATCAGTCTCTTATCGGCGTGTGTGCGGATTGCATCGATATTTCCTTAAGTCACAAGCATTATAAACAAAGATCGATGGTAGCTAGCAGTGGAATTCAGGACGCGCGTTTCGTCTTATTTGGGACTCGTCGGTTGGCTGTATCTGCATTCCAAAGTCGATGTTCACCCTGGGACTCGAACCCATTACCGTTCACTTCAATGGGAAGATTCAAATAAGCAGTGCACAGTGAATTTAAACTTCTCTCCATTGCACAAGCTAGTTGCTATCAGGACTCGGTAGCTAAGTGGATAACGCGATGGCGTTTGAAGCGAACGGTACTGGGTTTGAGTCCTAGATTGAACATCGACTTCGGGATGCAGATGTGTCCATCTGACGAGTCCCAAATAGGATGAAAAGCGCGTCTTGTATTTGACTGCTAGTCATCATCCATCTTTGCTTAAGACTTAGCCGGTAATTTTAATTTAGTAACTGGGTATCTATCTTAGCTTGGATGTTACGTGAACGAAAGACAGGCATTATAGCACAGGTGCTCATTCCGTTTTCAAGTTTCACCGATATCTAAACAAACTAAGTTGCCTACTCAATAATGATTAACAAAATTTATCACCATGAGTATGAGTCTTAAATCCCGACTGAAACCCTTTACCGATTAGATTCTGTTATCAATTCGTTTGTGAATTTATTTCAGATACCATGTGTTAAATTTTCTTAAAATACGATTTTCATCTCGATATCCTCACTTTTATTGGTATCAGTTTGTATTTTCTTGCAGCAATTCATTTTATGTACTTGTTACTTCACGATTCACTTCACGCTTTATTTATGCAACAGGTATATCGTATACATTATCAATTGCCGGAAAAGTCTGAAACAGGCAACACATATCGTATACTGTACTCACAAACAGATGAAATCGATTCATTCGGTTCTTATGGCCAACTGATTTCAACTGAGAGTGCTTCTACTCAAATGATATCACATAGACTGGATTATCGTAATAATGAAATAAGCGGTTGGCTTTCACAAATTCGTGGTGATGATCATAATATTAAATTAAGTATACATCGTGATACACATGGAAATCTTTTACGCCTTCAAACCCCAACAGGTAAAATATTGTTCTTTTATTTTTACTTGTTGGTTGCATTGCATCATAACAGCATCTGAAACGTACATCTTGAAACTGGGTAAACAATACGAAATTGACAACATTTACTCATTCCGTGCTTTCTTCACGGTCGTAATTCAGTTAACATATTTCGTGGCATAACTGTATGAATTGCCTTTAACAAAACGTAAAAGATATGACAGTATAACACAAAGACAAACTACAACACTAGGTCAGTTAGATCATAATAGTTATAGCCATTATTTTCCGCACAAAATTCGTTGTATCATATAGTTGTTTCATATTTCTTTCTGTTGTAGCTTTATCCACTGTCCTTGCTGGGTCTTCCACATATTTCTGCTTGTCAGCTCTATTACTCTTCCTCGCTTTCTTGTTTGCTTCTGTGTATCTAGCCAGTGCGTCGACTTCCTCTGTTCTTGTTTGACTGTCGTTAATTGTTGACTTCTTGTTCTTCTTTTCTTGAATCTTGTCCAGGGTTTCCATAGAGATCTGTTCCTTATGATGAAGCTTGTTGTGGCCGAACACCTCCTGACACGTAGAAGTCAGTGTTTCTTTGATCCCTTTCGATTTGTCCTCTATAGTAGTTTCCTCTTCTTTGGGTAGATCTTGTAAGACTTGAAAGCTGTGGTTGAGAGCTATCTTGAGTTCGTTGGGTTTGTCAGTATCTCGAAGAAAGACTGTATTAAACCTTGGTACTGCTGTTTCCCCAGTTGTTCAGAGCTTCATTAGCCTCAGTTTTATCTTGGCCACAATCAGCTAGTGGTGATCTGAAGCTATGTCGGCTACTTTCCTTGTTCTCATACCATCCACTGAGTTTCCGAATTATTCTGTGTGGTGTGATCCGGTGAGACCCATGTAGCTTTGTGTGTGCGATTGTGTGGGAATATCGTGCAGCATATAACCACTTTTTGAATGCACATAAAGTTGCAAATCTCTCATCATTTTCGTTCCTCTTCCCTAGTGCATGTTGTCCAATAATATCTTCGTACCCGGTGTTGCCCATCCCGACTTTGGCGTTTAGGTCTCTCATCAGGATGGTCAGGTTTTTTCTTGAGCACTTCGCTATGATCGATTGCAGCCTCCAGTGAAACTTGTCTTTCCAAAAATCTTTCACACGTGAAGCAATGTTTTACTCTTATTGTAGAATGAAATAACCAAGAAGTAATAAACAAATGTATCTCAAGATTACTTCCTTACGCCTGTTACCCCTCGTACAGTAGCATAGGGTTTCTACCAGCATTCTCGATCCAACTCTTTCTTGAGAAATCCTTTCCAGTTTCTACTCATCTTTATCATGTCTGCTTCCAATTCTCGACGCAATGTGTTCTTCAGCATTCCTCATTGCCATTTCCCTTCAGGAATCCAAGTTATAGCTTGCCTCATGATGCAGTTTGATAATTTCCTTAATGTGTTCCCTATCCTCTTTCAGCGTCTTTTCCTAATTTCCTCTTCAGATGGAAGCTGGTTTGCCCTCTACGATAGTAAGTTGTTGTTGATGGTATGCGACCAACGGACATTAAGTATCTTGCGTAGAAAATTGTTTAGAAATACTTTTACCATTTGATGATGGTTGTGGTAGACCTCGAAGTTTCCGGTGCATACAGTAGAACTGTCTTGACGTTCTCACTGAAGATTATGGCTTTGATCCTAGTTGACAGTTGTTTTGATTTCCATATGTTCTTCAACCGTAGGAATGCTGTCCTTGTTTTGTCAATACTTGTATTTACATCTGCATCGCATCCTCTCTGTTCATCGATTGTGCTGTTCAGGCACATGAGAGTTTCCACCTCTTCTAGAGCTTCTCCATTAAGTGTGATTGAGTTGGTGTTCTTCATGTTCTTTTTGAGCATCTTGTTTTTTTCCCTGTGTATGTTGAGGCATACTGATGCAGAGGCTGCTGCTACACTGGTTGTCATCGCCTGCATTTGTTGCTGTGTGTGGGATAGAAGAGCTACGCCATTTACCAAGTCCAAATCATCTAATTGCATCTAAACAATCAGTTGTATTCTGTGCTTCCCCTCAGATGTAGAAGTCTTCATAATCCAGTCAAACACCAAAAGAAAGAAGTACACCATATTGTCAAAGAGGTTTGAATAAGTTTCTCTTATCCACATTTCCAGATGCTTTTTGATAGTCAAGGAAGTTGATGTATAATGATGAGTTCTACTCAATAGACTGTTCAACAATGAACCGTATTGTCACGATTCGGTCGGTACACGGCAGATCATTATGAAATCTAGTTTGTCGAGCTTGATGTTGACTGTATGCTGCATCCTTCATTCGGTTCATCAACACTATTGAAAACTTTCCTTGATACTGACAGTAGTGCGATGGCTTTGTGGTCCTCATACCTGCTATGATCTTCCTTTGGTATATTGATGTGACATCCCTGTTTTCAGTCTGTCGGTACTTGTCCTTTTTCTTAAATCTTTCTTAAGAGAACGTGGAGCACCTTTCGATTTGCCTTCATATCTGACTTTAATGCTTTAACTAGAATAATGTCTGGTCTTGATGCTTTCTGTCTATAGATTTGTCTGATAGTCATCTTGATTTCTTCGATCATTGATGGAACGAGATCTATGAGGTCTGTAGGTGCTGCTCCAATGTGTAAAGGATTCATTAAGGTTGGTTTACTCAAGAACTCTTCAAAGCGTTCTACCCACCTGTTCCATGGCTTTTGAATTTTATTAATTGGTTTGCTTTATTTGTTCTTGGCTGATCTCTGGGGTCTATCGTATTTTCCTGCTAGTTTTTTGGTTGTCATATAGTTGTCCCATATTTTCTTTTCTTCCAGCTTTTTCTACTGTCGTCGCTAGGTCTTTCATGTATTTCCGTTTATCATCTCTAATGCTCTTCTTCACTTGTCTCTTTGCTCCTGCGTATTCGGTTTGTCCTTCGGTTTTCTCTGCTCTTATTCGGCTGTTGTTGATTACTGTCCTCTTGTCATTCCCTTTATGAATCGTGTTTAAGGTGTTGATGGAGATCTATTCTTCATATTGATGCTTCATGCGGCCCAGGACCTGAAATATCGGAGTTACGGTTGTTTGCGGTTGTTTCCATAGTGGTTTCCTCTTCTTTGAGTCGATCTTGTAAGGTCTGGAACCTGTTGTTGGGTCCTATGTTGAAATTGTTGAGTTTGTCAGTATCTCGAAGAAAAACTGTATCAGACTTTTGTATTGTTGTTTGTCGAGGTTTCCAATGCTTCTTTAGCTATAGTTTTAGCTTGGCTACTACCGGTTGGGCGAAAATGGTGCCACTTATAACCATTTTGTTGAAAAGACACAGATTCGCAAGTCCGTCACCATTTTGGTTCTTTTCTCCAAGTCCACGTCGTCCCATGACATCTTTATACTCGGTGTAATGTGACTGAGTGCTAGGATTTAATTCGTCTTACTCATTAAATGAAATTTTTTTAATTTCAGGTCATCTGTACAATGTAACACTGGAGCCTGGTTCTGGACAACGCATTAGTACTCTTGTTGATCCAGTTAACGGAGGTCTTTGGAAATTTCTTTATTCATCAGACGGTCTCTTAACTTATTTAAAAAATCCACAGGATTCAAGTTATACACAATTTCACTATGCTCCTGAATCAGGTCGTTTGCTACAAATTACATATCCGAACGCTAAATCTATTGATGTAGCTCGTATTGTCAGGAGTCAAATCCCTGTGAATATGAGGTTTCATACTTTGGATGAAGTTTCAAATCAAGATAATACACCTAAAAGTGATTCAACAAATACTCCTGATCAGTTGTCCACAGGTATGCTTACACATTATACTAATGTGTTTAATTATGTGTGGCTACATGCTTCTCAATGCTAAAGTGTTGTTGAGATAACTTTGTTTTCAAGTTACTAACGGTATATCAAGTAGTTAGCAGTTTATTGTGGGAGGCATAATCACTAGTCAAGGGACAACTAAGCTACTTCGGACTAAATCTATTACGATGAATGTCTCAGGTATTGAAGTTGTGTCAGCCTAGACCATGGAATAATGAACCATGATAATTGAAGTTATTGTTTATTTTCTTTGTAATGAATAACGTAAGTACTTGAAACAAACCCAGCCGCTTAAGCATTCTGTTTGGACTGATCAACGGCCTAAAATAAGTATTCTTCGAAATGTTCACGGTCATAATATACCATAATTCTTCTGCAGATATTTCATAAATTACATATTTTAACAGAATTTCTATTAAAAAGCATTGCCACTATATTATGTCTCACTCAGTTGTCTAGTTGGCTCATAGGTTAAGAAAGAATGTTCTACTATATTAAGGACCTGCCAACTTTATATAACTACATCTCGAAGAATACTAGTGATCGTACTTCCACCAATAAACATCTGTCCAGTGCTTCCTGGCTTTGATTTATAGATTCTCCTAAACATCCAGTAACAAAATATTATCAAGTTCCAGTCACAGTCACATTGATCACTCTATAATATTTTGTGCTATAACAGATCCAAAAATTTGTATATAAGTTCTCAGATTGATGTGATGAAAACCTGACTCATGTATTCACAGTCAAACGTATGTCTATATAGTGTTCTCAATTTTACGAAATGTCTACTCTTGTACTTGTGTATAGCGTTGATTTCAGGCATTGATAATGACAACGTTTCTTTGAAATTGTAACTCATTAATCCAAGCATTTAATTTTAACCCATTTGTTCACTTGTATGAAGCTCAGTGACCTACTTATTTTGAAGTAACTAGCCGGTACCGCTATTTTCTCATTATACCTTGCATGCAACGTAGACCAATCTTCACTAAGCTCTAAAGTAGCTGTAAATAATTTAGTGATTAGTCAAAATAATCACGGTTATTTTGTAACGTGTAATTTTTTAAATACAATGTAATTCGAAAGCAAACCAAGAGCTTTAGGTAATATTTTGTTATCTCAGTAATCATGATACAAACTACGGATTCGAATAAACATGAGATGGAAATCGACTATGGCGATTCAAATAATCTTTGGAAAGTTCTTCTAGCGCAAGTTTATCAAATTCGAAAGGATTTATACGCACCAGTACAATTGGTTCGACAAATCACGATACCTGGGAATAGTATAAGAAATGCAATTGAACATACGTAAGTTTGTTTACTTCTCAGTATATTGCTTTTTTGTTTGATCATTTGTTTCCAGTTATTTGAGGTGATGATCACTTATTTTAACGTTTAATAGACCATGCATCTTTGTACTATGATGAAAGATTATTTACGTGCAAAAATACTCTCTCTTGCACTGAATCGCAAGCACAGGTATGACCCAGGCAAACAAGACTTCATTTAATGTAGCTTAAAAACATACTAACTTAATAACTAAACTCTGAAACACTAGAAAATCGATCAATTTGACCACTCGCATTTTTTTCCGTAAACATATAGATATACGGTGACTGATCACCACCTAGTTATCATTCTCTTTTTTTATAGTCGTGATTGAATTGTACCTACCAAGTCTCATTGTGCCTACTAGTCCAAATGATTTCCGAATACTCCTAACCATCTAACATCAAAACAGTGCATGCTATATTGAGCAACTTGGATCAACTAGTAGCCACACTATAATTCGATTTGTACAATCCTGTCAGCACTAACTTACTGAACAAACATGACACTCATCACTACTTGATGATTAATCAGCGTAAAGATACCAGTCTTATCGGAGGTCAATCTCTCCCCAAACAGCTCAATGTTAAGGTCTTTGACTGAAGCTGAGTGATCCCAGTTCGAATCCTACAAGGATCATCAGTCCCCTCCAGATTGTAGGTGATATATGGTACGACACCTAGATCCAGGATTTTCTTCCGCCTACCTCCAACCACATAAGGTACGTAGATGTAAATAAATGCGTACGTATATTGATTCATCGTAAAGAAAAAAAAAGCAAATCTACTAGTACGGTTTGGCAACCATAAATAATCACAGACTACTTTGTAGATGTATACTTATCTTCCCTCATCCCCATCTTCTCAAATTACCCTATATTGTAATTAATTAGCTAACGATCTACAAAAATTACATGTAACGATACAATATATACATATAAGCTTACAGGTTTTTTTAAAAACTTTTTGATGCACTTTCATTATGTTTCTGAATATGATGCATATTATGGGTTTAAAGGTAGAAAAACATAAAGAATCTGACAAATTAGATTTAGATATTTTTCAAAATAATGATTTCATTTTTTCCTATAAAAATTTCGATTGATAGTTGTGGCTTGAAATGAATTTATCGTCAAATAAATAACCAGATCAACGAACTTTAGTTTGTTACTATAATAATCACAACACCAACTCAAAGCACTAATTCACTTACACAACAAAAAATTTCTAACACGAATTCAACACGGGAATTGTGATGCCTTGAGTTAGTAGCACCACGCCTCAGTAAATATTCCTTTATTTTCTTCAGTTTCTTATTATTAATAGCCAGTAAATTCACTAACTAGTCTCATCTATCGATCATCATTAACATTTTATCGAAGCCACTTTTATACTAGTAACCAGTATAAGTCATAGTAGGTGATTAAACGGTTTGCATCAAATGTTGATAATAACAATAATTGACTTTTTTCTAGAAATCAGTGACTTACCTCAACACTGATCACTACTTGGTAGTTTCACAATATATTAACAATTGCCTAATGATATATATACGTGGTTTTAACCCTTCATCCACTAACATGACAGAAAAGTGTTATATTAAGCCATCCATTTCTATTTTCTTACGATCTAAAAACAAGTTAACAAGTTCACTGCAGCGCACGGTAGCAAGCTCCTGAAATTTTATTCACATCTGGACATAGCAAAATATGTTAAAACATTTGTTCATCAATTATACCATGATACGTTTAAAACTCATCTCGTTTCATCAAACATATTATACTTTTCCCTATGTAGAAATGTATGGACATATCATTTGAATGATCAAAGCAATCCAAGAATACTTGATACTCATACTTCAATAGGTGGTGGAGGATATTCAGATTTTGGCGTAAATTTTGATAGGAAGTCACAACCATATCACTTTTTTAAGAATCATTTTCGACGTAGTATTTCGGCACAGAATTATCTATCTGGATCAGATTTACATCGTTCAAAAAGTCAAATGTCCCATCCTTTTTCTAAGAGATTTACTGCTCGGTCTATTTTCAATTATAATGACAAGAATTATAATAATCTCGGTGAAGAAGTAGACTGGCATTATCAGAAGACCCTAACAGTAAGTGATAAACGTTTATCGAATTGGTAACTCACTTCTAGTACTATTTTTTTGTTAGGATCATTACTTAAAAATAACTGATAATTTCCGAACCATTTCTTTTGCGTACAATAATAATAGTGTCATTCTGAGGAACTTGAAAGTTGATAATGTCAAAATTATAGTTTAATAAACAAACTTCAGCAAAGCATGTTGAAATAGTCTCATCCTATAAAAACAGAGAATCAATATTATAAGATTTACTTAATACCTTAGATGGGTTAATTTTCGGGATTTCATGATGTTGGGATATTCAGAAAAATATCTCAAAAACAATTATCCGGTTAAGTCTAATGCTACCCTTGAACGTTAAATGGTGTCATTTTCCTATTGGTCGTTTCCCTACTGATCAATGTTTATTTCGCGTGTCATTTTCCCATTGGTCAATATTATTTCACGTATCATTTTTCGGTTGGTCAATATTTATAGTAATCCTAACTGTATAAATATGCATTTGTTTGTAAATCATTATTCGGCTCCTGGCCCCATAAACGATTTTTCATCTGAGGTTTGTGTCCTGATATATTGGAGATTGGGTAACAGTATTGGGGTCGAACTGGGATATCTGAAGCTGATCAATCGGTAGAAATTAGAGTAGCCACCTCGCGATTGACAATACATGACTCAATGGTCCAGATGAATCCACCTTTAATTTGTAAAACTGGAGGAGCTTACAAAACTGTTGGTTACATAAAAACAAAATCGTTTCAGTTTTTTTATAAATCTATACTGTTGATTATGTTTACTATGGCATTAAAACATTCACTAGTCAATCCACCCAAATATGTTAGCTTTGTGTTGAGTTGCCCCACAGAAATCAAACCTAATAGTGAAAAAAGAACAGCGGATTCATTGTGTAACATTACGGTTCCAAATGCGAATATCTTTTGGGCGCTGACGTCAGCTTGGAGGAAAGAGGGTTTTTTATCGTTCAGCTTATTTCAAAAATCGGTATGAAAAAAACAAATGAGGGGTGTAATTAAAGCCTACAAATTAATATAGTTTCTTGGCTGTCAGTGTCTTATTTATATTTGTCTATGTATTTGTTTTTAGGTGAATGGTCAAAATCTGCTCAATGTTAATTTTAACTGGGCACTACAATTAGAAACTTATCAACACGCTTCAACTGGACACATTCTTTTGCAAGTCGTGTATAATGCGAATTTTCAACCGATGATTTTTAATGCTTCTGCAAATTACTTGCAATCGGCGGGAGCACATGAAATGTTTTATCCAACAAAAGCAGATTATATACGACCAGCTACATTGATACTTGCATATACAAAGTAATTTATGGTTTATCGACATACTGTCTTACTAATATAACCTATATGAGATACCTTTTTTAGTGTATCCATGGCCGATAGTTGGTGGGGAAACCGATTTCCAGCTGGATTCTAGTCAACAGTCGTCATCTTACCAGTTTGCATTACTCACTATGATTGATAAAACTCATGAGTCGTTAGACAATTAGCTGTAGTGAGAAAGGACTGTTCTGTGTTTTCCTTATTTACATGATACCTCAATGTAGCGCGTTTGCTGTTTGAATTAGAATTAAACTCAGATTAGTAATTACATCTCGTAGCTCAGATACTTAGACACACAATAAGCCATTATAAAGGTGATTATTCAATTAGTTTACTTTTAATTCAGTCACCATCATTGTGTAAATTAAGACAACGGTATTCTATGCTCCATGTTAAATCAGTGTACTAATAAAACAAACTATATGCCTATATATACAATTAGTGAAAATGTATATGAGCAAATTAGTTAAGAACTTTAGCCACATAAAAACACTTCAAAACATATTTCCCAAATAGAATGGTACAGAATAGTAGCGAGAATTCTTAGAAAATAAAATATTTATTGGTTCCTTTATAGTTGTTCCGTGTTTTTAATTATAGCTATAATGAATTCTGAATACTATGTGCTTCTATAAATACTAATGATATGATCTTTATATTCATATTTTGTAAAGTTGCTAGGATATCGTTGACTAGTTTGGTTACTTAGCTGTTGGCTATGAATATTTCTAACAGTAACAACAGTATAACTGAATTAATTATGAATTTTTAAGTAAAATGACCATTCGCTTATTTTTCTTAACTTTTTAGGACTGGACATTTAAGCGCAGTTGAGTGGGGAAATGCAAGTTATCATTTTTCCTATGATGTTCTGAATCGATTGAAAGCAGCCGATTTAGGAAGACCTGCGGATACTTTATCATTTCAATATGGAATCCAAAATATTCCATTTCAGGTAATCATTAATTCTAAGCTCAGATTATATCGTAGCCGAGTTGAACAGCTTTTTTGTATTTTTCGAAAAACATTTAGATTATTAAAGTTTTCTCTAAAACTAGCTCTGAATAAATTAGTAACAATTAATACTTGTATGGATTCCTAATATGACAGTAGTTCAACAATTCCTATGATAGGAAAGAGAAAAACAGAACAACATAGAACTTCACAGAAATCTCATAGCTTCAACTGGTTACAACATAAGTGTACACAAATTAAATAGGTATACAGTACTCAAATGATGAATACTTAGAGGAATATAAGTAACAATCCCATTTAAGCGATTGTGACCGATCTTGCTTTATATTATTTAAATCTGCAATTAGTGAATATCGATATCTTGATAATTCTCATCAAACAACATTCACTGAGTTGTTTTACCTTGATTAGGTGTCAATATCTTTATTGACTAGTTTGATCACCCTTCGCCTTTTCCTAACCTATCTCTACGTATACCGAAATTATGCATCAAGGGAGGCCATATAGAAACGCATGTCTGAGCTACATTGCTTGTCCGTAGCTCACCAATCTGTGTATGAGCTAATAAATCGGCAAATATTTATAATGAAAATGCTAATTAAGTTTAGATACATTATATCTCTTTTAGTTCTTTCAGCCTTAATGCCAACATTATTAGTGAAAAGAATGATGCATTACTTTTCTATAAACTAAGATAATGATAATCCTACAAAAATATGTATTATACAATGATAGTCGTTTCTCATAGACCGATATTAGCTGAAAGACTAATTAAGATTGACGAACTGAAGAAAAGGGTTTAATTTGTGGTGTTAACCATAATATATGTTTATTGTTTTAATCCTACCAACTGAAGTTAGTATTTGTTGCATTGGTATTTGCCACCTGGCCCACTGTAAATCAATGGTGCTTTCTGATTATTCTTTTGCTTCAACAACACTATAATTTACATGTCAATGCCCAAAATATTCGACAAAGTTTTATTTTTAGAAAGAGAATTGTAAATCTTATCAGTTTTCAAAGTACTAACCGGAAGATGATCATTGAAATCAATGTTTAGATTACTAAATAACTATTGAATTATGACGAAGTATTTTTTGTCGTATGAAGTGTTTGTTTTCATGTTGATTTATTTCTATAAGAATTCAAAAATCATGTCTCCTATAATAATTATGACTGTAATTTTACTTCAAGTAATAATATCTTGGTCTACTCAGCGTCGAAATTCAAGACGCTCTCATCGAAATAATAAACGTGTATTACACTTTTTAAATATATTGCGCTGAAAATTTCAAAGAGTTATGCTTTAAGTGTAGTGTTCATTATGATTCTTTCTTCCTTCTGAAGTGTCAACTAGTCGTCTAGTTGTTAACAAAGTTATAATTACTTGTATTTGTTAACCTTCTGATTAGAAAATAAAGCGTTTTGCTATCGATCTATAACTGAAACTGGAAAATAACCTGGAATTTAAATCTGTTTTACTGATTGAATGCTGCTCACTCAACTGACTGAGCTGTAAAAAGCCTATGTAAAGAATAACTCTGATTATTGTGCACATTAATGATTAGTTGACATATATTGTCTGTTCACTATTTATTTAAAACTAATTATCAATTACTTTAATTGTTCTATTTATTTATTTATTTATTTTATTCAGTAAAAAATGTATATTCTTATCTGTTTGCAACTTACAGCCAACAATGGTTTCTGTGAGTGGATCAGGTCTCTACACATTACTTTATTCTGATAGCTTTATTGGGTCTAGTGAACATCAAGAAGCTAGTTCATTATCATCATCAAAATCAGACTATATGGGTCTTTCTGGAGTTATCACTCCAACCGGTCTTAGACGTCAGTTTACTCGAATCAATGGAATAAAAGTTAATCGTTTGATGTTTACACCATGGCTAGACTCACCCGGTTCCTGGGTCTATGAATGGGGAAGTGATGTTGGTAGTTCTATGAAATTGTCATCAGATCATTCACACTTGCTTCGTTTCATATGGCCAAGTAGTTATAGGCGTATATCATTATTTCCTAAACAAAATTTCGTAATTTACGATAAAACATCAGTTCGATGGGATTCTAATGGTTTGAAACAACCAGTTAATATATTAACTGCTCCACTTGTACAGTTGACGGATACTGCATCTGGTTTTCGGTTACAGTATCAGCGTATCTTTCAAGGAAGTTTATTACAATCTTTGCATATAAATCACCGACTACCAGGTGTAAAAACTGCCCATCCTAATCTTGGGGGAATCCTGAATGCTAAATTCACTTATGGTTATGACTTAAATATGAATGTAAGTTTTCCTGAACGAGAATTTTTTTTGTATTATACATAATGTTATGTGTTATTACGTCTACTTCACATAAACCTCTTCAAGAATCATTATAATTACCAAGTACTTTGAAAATTCCTCAGATGACTGTACCGTTATCTTCTGTCGCACACACACCTAATCACATGATAACAATAATAATGTAGAATAACTACTCTTCTCTTTATTCGGTGATAAATAGTCGGAAAACATATTAGTCCACCTGATTCTCATAATATAATGTTTTGCAAAATTTAACAGTCGAATATTAAAACTATCATATGGAAGCTATCACACTTCAGCGATGACCTCAAAACAGATGAACATTAGTACTAAACTAAGATTCTCAAACACCCCTTGCAACTCCTCATCCAAACGTGTTCTATACGGGTTTTATTGTTTCATTCAGGATTTCACTAAACGAGTTCACAAATAGGGGTTATATAGCATAACTAAACTTCTCAATGTCCTTTACCAGTCTATCCAAACAGTACCTATATGTATTTGCCACTAATTCTTGATATTCACATTGACCAATCGCAGGTAAGTGAGTAATTCAATGTTATTATGTTGTTATATGTAGGTTGATGTATACGTCTTTTAACAATAATGTTTACATGAGGGTTAGTGAATTCACTGCATCAGTTTATGAACCTGTGACCAATTGTTTGAAAATCTTTTTCTTAAACCATTAAGCTACTGTTGCACCAAGTCACTTCTCCAAAAAGACGCGATCTTTCTCTCTGTGTTTGTTTTATTCTCAATAATTATCGTAGTGCTGTATTATGGAGTTTTTTTCAACTAACCTGCTGTTGTGTGTAAATCTTTGAAATTTTGAAATGGATGACATAACTAAGGTAAAGTTTGTATGGAATCAATTACAACGTTAGGGACTTGTAATATATCTTTGTATTAAAGTGGCAGCACGAAATATCAGTATGAAGAGAGTTTTTATCAGAAAACTTAATTACGACAGTACTTACACATTTATTTTCCTCTTAGTTTGTGTATTTATATGAAGTCACGATTAACTAGTACTATCACTCATTTTCTCTCGTATTTTGTTTAGTGATATTCTGTTTCTCATATGTGAATGAAATGCAAAAAATAGCCATAATTACGCAGGTTATGCAGAGAATTTATGTTTAGTACCAGAAATACAACAACTAAATAGGGTGATTTAAATTCAAATCATAGTGAATACAGATTAAATTGCAATTATCCAGGGTTATACATTTTGTTATGTATCAAATAGGCACAAATATGTTCTTTTATGGGAACGAACTTGTACAAACTGATCGTATGGTATGAAGTCCTGTCGACTTTATCTGATTCCAAACGTAAACGATTTCAATTTACTTGCTCAATCTAATGTACACTGACCTCTTTCATATATTTTGTAAGGATAACAGCAATAGTATGGCAATGAAATTTTCAAAATATCCTTTTCCCAGTTTGTTTGAGATGAGAAAATTAGTATCGCACTACATCGTGATTTTTCTTATTCACTGGATAAAATATATGGTCAATAGGCTAATAATTGTACTACTCTTTACTTATCCTGACCACAGCCTAATACTGTTTCATATGTACTTGAACTGAACTAAACTGTTGTTTATTTCTCAAAAAGCTTTCTCAAGATATTCAGTCTAACTTGCCTGGTATAATAATCTATGAACTATAATAGGAAACTAAATTTTAAAAATTCTGTTCATACAACTGACTTTTTGTACAATTTGATTCATCTTCTTTAATTTATCATCTTTATTACTTTCTAATTTAGCTTGTAAGTATTCATACATCATTGTTTATAAGGAATAATGAAGACGATTTTGGTAATACAATTAATTCTGATGATAAGACAGTATTGAATGAAGAATCATCAATCCGGTTAGATTCATTAACTGGTCGTGTATTGACTATGAATGAATTCACTATCAATCATCAATCCTCTTCATTGCATATAACTTATAATTTAAAAAATATACAAATTTATCGTCAATGGGATGATCGTCAACGTATTATACAATGCGTATTGCATTCAGTAAGTAGTCCATTTGTTTTTTTCCTATTTATATTTTCAAATACATCATAAACGTTATTGCAAATAATTACTGTTTTTCAAGGTTAAAAACGAGTCCAATTAAAGTATATATTTATGTAGTTATACTTTGATCCGATTAGCTTAACGAACTGATTGTAATAAGTAATGACTGAAGCTTAAGATAGTGATTAAGCCCTTGTTTTGTCATACTACTTTAGTGTTCGTACATTGAAAAATGCATTTAGCTTTGCTTTCGTTATGATTTCAAGCTTTACAATTTTTCCCTTTCGTCAACTGCCTGTATTAATTCGGATACTTAAAGCCAACTTTTGAGCCCTATCGATAGGGTTGATAAGTGTTCTTACCATTATTTCTTCTTATCCAGATTCTCCAAGGCATGCTATATTTTTACATTTTTATTCGTTTGTTAAGTAATTTTAGCTCATAAAAACTCTCCTAATTTTGTGTCGAAAACAGGCGAGCTAGCTGATAACTGATCTATTTTTAAGGGCCCAATCCATAAAGATGAGCTTCTGGATATCTTGATAGAAGTGAGTATACTGCGCAGCAACCAGCTCTGTATTACTACTGATCGACTGATTTGGACGTGTTACGTACTCTTATTCATCGCCTACTTTGGTGGGCCGTGTTATCTGATGTAGAAGTAAGTTGAGGGACGGCGAGGTGCGGCTAAACCAAGACGTGACATCAGCCCATAAGGTCATTGGCTGTTCGTTCGAGTCATATTCATAGATTCAGACTGTCTGATTGGAGTCTACACGATAGCTCCAACCAGTGATTGAAAGCTTCGGCTGACGTGGTTCCGAATCGGTCACAATGGTGCGGATATATTTACTCCCTACCTTGCCTTAAATCATGGGTTCTAGTATTGCTTGATAGTTTGATTTTCTGTTCAATGGAATCAGTCCAACTTACTAATATAAAAGATAACTGGAAGTATATCTCTTCTAATCCTGTTGAAACACTTCTATAGAAGGGATGACCTCCTAATCAAGGACATCTCATTCTAACCAATAATTGATGTCAGTATGAGGATTTGTGGAGATAAGAGTATTTTCAGTTAAAATCACGAATCAATCTAAGTTAGACCACCAGTGAAAACCTGAAAAAACTGACCCGACCGTTGTCGCTACCTTGACGTGGTGGTCGGGCTTGCCTATCGTGATGAAGCAACCGAGCTATACTGGCTGGAACAACCGTTCCTCAAGGTCCTACCATGTCAGACAGGTCGGTTGAAGAGCGGTAAGACTAAAAGCAACAAACCCAAGGTTCGAAGGCGAAGTCGTACTGCTGACTGTACAGAGGTGTGACAGCAGTAAGGTGTTTCCTTCAGACAACCAGCATGACAGCGATGCTGCCTTCCCACAAGGAGGGGTAGGGTTAGAAAAGGTCGACCCTAAAAATGCGCACCTCACCTTACCTCACAGATTTCCGTCTCCGGCGGTAAGGCCCTTTGAAGAACGGAGCTAACACGTCAAAAACCTCCCACGAAAAGGCCGTGCGCGACCAGCCTCAAGCAGTTGTCCCTTGGGCACTGCGGTCACGCTCTCAGGTCACTGAGACCGCCTCTAATCCAATTTCCTTTTCAGGTACCTCCAGAACAACCCTTCCACGGTGTGGGCAACCGGGAAGTGATAACCGCCCTCATACCTCTAACAGCACCCAAGACCACTGTATTCCTAATCAACCTCCATCTTCAATTCCTATTATTCCTCCTACATCGACTTTCACCTCTAAACTTCCTCTTTCGGCTTCCCCCTCAAGTGTCACCATAGCCAACGATTCCAGTGCTCAAAACACTATCCCAGGTCTACTGAAACCTCGCTCCAAACTACACATTGGAGCCTTCAACGTACGCACCCTATGTCAAATCGGTCAACAGGCTTCCTTGGCTAGAACTCTAGAGTCTCTTTCCATTGATGTGTGCTGTGTCTCCGAAACACGCATACAGGATTCGAGTGTGGTCATTCACTTGACCTCACCTCGGCAAAACGGAGAGCCAACGAGATACACCCTACGTGTATCTGGTGACCCGATGGCCAGTTCTCGTGGACTGGCAGGTGTAGGCATAGCACTAAGCATGAGGGCGGAACAAGCACTGCTAGAGTGGATCCCCGTCAACAGTCGTCTATGTGCTGTTCGGCTAAACGGCTCCGTAAAAACTCGGAAGGATAGGGACACACGTCGTTGCCTTTTCGTCGTTTCTGCCTACGCTCCCACTGACTGCAGCTCAGATGATGTGAAAGATGAATTTTACAGAAAGCTGTCCGAACTTCTTCAGAAAGCTAAACGCTCAGACATAGTACTCGTAGGGGGTGACTTTAATGCTCAGATAGGTAGTTTAAACCAAACAGAAAGGCATTTAGGTGGATATTTTAGCATTCCGGCACAGCAAACAGATGATGGTAATCGTCTGCTGCAACTGTGCTCAGACAGTCGTTTATTTTTAGCAAACACAAATTTTAAGCATAAGGAGAGACATCGTCTAACATGGCGACCGCCTGCACCAAACCAACGATGGACTCAAATAGACCATATTGCCATCAGTCATCGTTGGAGAGGGTCGATACAAGATTGTCGCTCATTCTGGAGTACCTGCTTGGACTCCGATCACGCCCTAATACCGGCACGCATCTGCTTGCGCCTCACTGGACGCAAAAAAGCCTCAGTAAAAAGACCCAATAAAACCGAACTGAGTAGCGAGGAAACCAAAAGTAGGTTCCAGGAACAACTGAGGTCACGATTAGGTAGTTCTGAAGACGAGGCTGACCCAGATGTTGCTTGGAATGAAATACAAACAGCTGTGGAAACAGAAGTGACATCTATCAGTGATTTAAACCACCGGGTTACAAAAAACCAATGGATTTCCTCTAGGTCTATTGCACTGATGGATTCTCGTAAACTCATCCCATCAGACTCTGAACACGATGAAGAGCGTGTAGAAATCAGATCCAGGTTAACCAAAAGTCTAAGAAACGACCGTGAGCAGTGGTTGGCAACGAAAGCAAAAGAGATGGAAAAGGCGGCGGCTATAGGGAACACAAGGCAGCTCTACGGACTAATAAAAGAAACTAGAATTAATAAGTCAAGTGTAAGTGAGGTTATATCGGAAAAAGACGATACACTCATCTGCTCCCAGTCCAGGCGTTTAGAACGATGGGCGGAACATTTCAGAGAACAGTTCAGCTGGCCTTCAGCTACTCTACAACTACCCTCCATTCCCAGACAGTGTGAATGGAACATTGATGTAGGTCCCCCAACTCTTGCTGAAGTTCAAAAGGCTATAGTGAATCTGAAACGAGGAAGGGCAGCTGGTCCAGATGGATTGGCTCCAGAGGTCTTTAAGGATGGTGGTCCAATTTTAGCGATTAGGTTGACTAATATTTTAGCTAAGATCTGGGAATTAGACTTTAACCCATCTGACTGGTCGCAATCACTTATCGTCCCAATATATAAGAAAGGGTCAAAATCATCCTGTGACAACCACAGAGGGATTAGTTTAACTAATATAATATCTAAAATACTAGCCTCGATAATTATCGGACGCCTAACTAAGACTCGTGAACTGCAAACACGAGAGAACCAAGCTGGCTTCAGACCTGGTCGTGGCTGCATCGACCACATATTCATCATTCATCAGGTTCTAGAACATAGGCATACTTATCGGCGTACGACAATGGTGGTCTTTCTCGACTTAAAAGCAGCATTTGACTCTGTAGACCGCGAGATTCTGTGGCAGTGTCTGTCATTGAAAGGCGTACCTCAGAAGTACATAAACCTTGTAAAGGCTCTTTACTCGAACACTACTAGTCGAGTCAGAGCTTATGGCGAACTGTCATCTACTTTTGCAACCTCAAGTGGTGTCCGTCAAGGCTGTCCACTTTCCCCATTTTTGTTTAACTTCATCATAGACCTATTGATGGAAATTACATTCTCGTCTACTGAATTCTTGGGTATTGATCTCCTTCCGGAAGGTCCACTTATCCACTTATCGTCCTGTTTGGTGAAGACGCTGACAAAATGCAGAGTATTTTGGTAGCACTAAGCAACAATGCCAGAATGTTTCGTATGCGCTTCTCTCCCTCTAAATGCAAGCTGCTGCTTCAGGACTGGCCTGCGTTAACACCTGAACTAAGGATAGGGAGTGAAGTAGTCGAACGCGTTGACAACTTCACTTATCTTGGAAGTGTGATCAGCCCTAATGGGTTGGTGTCTGACGAAATCTCAGCACGGATTCGAAAAGCTCGTTTGGCTTTTGCCAACTATGGCGAAGGCGAGATATTCGTCTATCAATAAAAAGACGAGTATACTGCGCGGCAGTCCGTTCTGTTTTAATTTACGGCAGCGAAACATGGTCACTAAGAGTAGAAGACACTCGTAAGCTATTAGTATTTGACCACAGATGCCTTAGAAATATTGCTGGCGTCTGCTGGGATCACCGGGTAAGTAATAGTGAGGTTAGACGCAGGGTATTAGGGAATGATGGTAAATCAGTTGATGAGGTTATGAATCTTCATCGTCTGAGATGGTTGGGCCACGTGGTACGTATGCCTGAACATCGATTACCACGACGTGCAATGCTATCCGGTATTGGAGATGGTTGGAAGAAAGTTAGGGGCGGCCAAACCAAAACGTGGCATCAGTGCCTGAAGTCACTAACTTCTAGTCTGAGCCACGTTGGTAGATGCAGACTACTTGGTTGGGGTCCGCGTGACTATCGTAACCAATGGTTGGAGACTCTTGGTAACATGGCTCAGAATCGATCACAATGGCGTAGGTGTATACACTCTCTATGTTCCCTTAAACTAAGAGATTAAAATCGCTTCATATCTTTCTTTCTACGAACCAATTCTTTCTTCTTGTACTATATCTCTATATGCAATCTTTCTCTTATATATTACTACCTTTTATCTAACCACTGCTATGAATCCGGTGTTCATCTTGTTGTGCTGATGCGGTATGGCAACCTGGACCGATGCACGTATGTGTCTGGTCCTACGTTGTAGCTGACTGACTGACTGAAAAAAACTGGACGGCCGTTTTGTCCTAGTATAGGACTCCTCAGCAGTGCGCATCCACGACCCCGCTTTCGGGACTCCAACCCAGGACCTCGCACGAACGATTAGCTTCTAGACCACTGAGCTGGCACCCAATGGTGATAATGTCCGATTTCAGCCAATCCAGGATCTTGCCCAACCAGTGCTTCCAGGTGACACTCTAGCTTAGATTGACTAGTGATTTCAACTGTAAAAATTGGTGATATGTTTCGTTGTACTTTATACTGTTTACTTAATATGAGTAAAAAATATTAAATGGAGAAATTTCGACTGTTCATTATACATTTTATCGTATAATGATTGTTAAATTCATTACAACCGTGTTGCTTGGATTTATTTCCTTGTATTTGTTGCATAAAACGTTAACATTTTTGATATTTTTTTGTTAAATAGCTTAACAGCAGACGTGAATTGTTATATAACTTGTCATTATCATATCAACCAAACGCTTTACAAGCCTTACAACAACGTGAAGAACGTGAAGGTCAAGTACCACGATGGATCACATATGTACATGGTCCAGGTGGACGTATAGAAGCTGTGGACCGTGAAGAAGCTGGTACAAGTTTAAGATCACATAGCCAGTTGATTTACAATGCTGAAGGACGAATAGCACATCTTCGTATAGCTACATCAGATCCTCAGCTACCATCGAATGAGTGGTCAGAGTCTGGATTAACAAGCCGTTCAGAAGAACTACAGTTCATTTATGACTCAAGAGGTTTATTGGCAAAACGAGGCAACTGGCACTATAATTTTGATGAAGATGGATTCCTGATAAAACGCCATTTACACAATTTTTATATTACAGATCAATTTGCTTACAATAGTAAAGGATTGTTGATATGGGCCGAGCGTGCAGTTGACAAAAGTGTTGATTCATCGTCCACTGACAATTTTCATTCAACACCATCGTCATCATCACCATTGGATCAATGGGCTTTAGAGGATGACGCCGGCTTAAAGCGTTCTTACTCAGTTCAATTCATTTATGATTCTGAGGATCGGTTGATAATTGTGCGTGATACCTTAATTGTACGGGATTCAGTTCAATATTTCTACGCTGATCCCAAACACCCTACACGTGTAACACATATTTTTAATCATGGACGTTTGAAAACTATCCGACTGTTATATGACCCTGTACATGGTCATGTATTTGCTTTAGAACAATATGATAATGGTGGTTTAAATACAAATAACGGTAAAAGAAACAATCTGAATTCTAATAGTATTCCATCTCCAATGAACTCCTTCGATGATAATCAGTTTCATCATGATTCTACTAATTCGGCACAAAAACGTGTATTTTTCATAATTACTAATCATGAAGGTAGTCCAACTGCCGCATTTTCCGAGAATGGAAAGGTACGTATGTATTATTTACCTTATATCTGTATGTTTCAATATCCTAAAGTAAGTACAGAACAGATAACATCATTGTTTTCCTCATATAGGGGCCTAGATAGTGATATATTTATAGAGCTGTATTGAACTTCCTATATCGGTTAAACGACACAGTCGTAAATGCGACTCAATAACAATGTATATATTCATGCGGCAAAACGTTAATGGCATCTAATTGGTGCATGCATTTTTAATAATATTACTCAATTGTTAATGGACAGAACTGTATTCGAACTCATGATTCAACCTTCAGGTGGTTAAATGCTGAGATATTTGAGACAGAAATAAAAGGGGGATTGTTCCTTTACAGTAGTCAATTTGATACATTAACTGCTAAAAACTTTTTTTACGGAAAGAATTCACGTTTAAATTGAAAATAAATGTAAAAGAAATATATCACATCCAATTCTTCTCAAAAATATATGTTAGTATAATCTATGACATGTGATTAACAGCATTAGTATCTTAAAATTGGCACGTTTTCTGTGTTTAATCACGTTACTATAAAGACGATTTGTCCCTTAATCAGTATCTTGTTTTTTAATAAATGATACAATAGGTACATTGATTTATAAACTAATCCATGTTAACTCTGATACACTGTGTTATTTTTCGTTTTAACTCCAGAACTCTTCTGTGATCATTACTTACAATAACATACTGATAATGTTATTGTTTAGACAACGTTTATTAAGTATGCGACGATTGTACAATGACTTGTACTATTTAAACTTGTGTTAATCTAATTCGGTTATTTATTTGCTCTGGAGAAGTGGCTTACATTAGGTCATGAAACCTCAGAAATACAATTTTTCTGCTCATTGGGATATAACAAAAATATAGTTACTATTATACTAATAACGTTCATCATTACGGAAATAATTACATCGACAGATGCCAATCATACTAAAGTTATTATAGGTCCCTTTGGTGTCTCTAACTTATGTTTAGTAATAAATATGCACTTTAAAAAGAATCACTAGTAGGCTATTACTTTTAAACGTACATTTGTGTTAGTGGTTATAATAACTTTTTTCATTGTAACGTATCCAGTAATTCGTTTTACCATGTGGAATACTGAAAAATAACATGAATTATTTTGGTAACTTTAAAGCTTTTATTGCTTTGTATATTAAAAGTGTTTATCAATTATAAGAATTGTAGCGTATAATACATCAGATGATAGTCTAAGGACAAGTCATCATTAAAGTTAAAAATGAAATTTATGTATTCATGTTATGCTTTTTTTAATATCAATATTTTTTATGCTCTATCCTCAGTTGGCATGGGCTGCTGAATACTCCGCTACAGGAAGTCGACGTCTAACATTATCTAGCCGCAACAATTTCTTCACACGTGCCCTTATTGAAGAAGTTGATTTACCACTGGGTCAGGCCTCGTGCATTACCGATTTTCATACTGGATTTCTTTTCTGTCCACCAACTAGTCGTGCATATGATCCTCTTGGTGCAACATTTACTAGTCCGGATTGGCGAGGCCTTATTTCCACTCGACTTTCGAATGTTAAACGTGATCCATCAGTATTAGATACTCACAAATGGGGTCTGACTGAACAAGAAGCGTTAGGAACTGGCCCGAATGGTCTCTTTGCAGAACTTCGTAAAGCTATGACATCACCTATTTGGTGGCTTAAACAAGTTGGTTTCAATCTGGACAATTTTCTGACAAAGTTTGATACGTTTGAAGGAAAGGTGGATAGCAGTAAAAACTCACTCAAAAATTCATTGCCTTTATTTCCAATTGATATTACATCCATTCATTCATTTGATCGCATTCATAACCAAGGTTATAAACAGTTAAACAGCAAATTCGAGCATCTCAGTATGTTGAAGTCTAATCAGTTAACTCCTGGTGGACCACATGGTAGTGGGCTATCAAGCTTTCTTCTTGACTCAAGAGATGTTAATGATGAAATGTCTTTGCCTCTGTTACCCGCAAACACAATGTTCGGACCTGAAGTAAGTTTACGACAATTCATTTTTAGAATTGTTATGTTCATCTCTTTAGAACGGATTTCCCATCAACTCCATTGATAACAACGGCTCAATATCACTTTACTTTCTCAATCTTTGTTATCTCGTATAATCTAATTGCATTTCTTTTTATAGTACTCAGTGTTTTTAAATAGAGACTCAGGTTTCCTGAAATTATTGCACCTATAATTCAAGTAAAGAAAAGTAGAATTTTGGATAAAATAGGTATAAGTCATATAAACTGACACTTTCCAATTTCACTTTTACCAAATTACATAGATTTCATTTCTTTTCCTAAATTAGTATGTGTATCGTTTTAGGAACTTTCACACAGTTTAGCACATGCTTTTACAGAGTAATTTCAGTCAAAATCACCATGCTAAATGCTAAAATTCAAAGTATTTTCAATAGCTACTGTCATGAATTCTGCTATAAAAGCGATAGAAGACAGAATTACTGAATTTCTAATTGTTCCATTGTTTTTAACTGTTTCTCTTTCTTGTTTTTTATCACCTCAAGGTCGGTTATGTAGTTGACGATGATACTGGATCTGTTAAAGTTATCTCCATCAATCAATCCCAGCCAACCAAGACGCAATTCCAAGATGTATCAATCGACAGTTCACTAGAAACAGAACTCGCTTCTATACTTATATCAGATACAAACCTTGTAGATTGGTGGAGTTACTCGAAATCATCCTTCCCTTCCTCTCCATCATCATCGTCAACAACAACAACACAAACAGCAGTATCACAGCTCAGTACAACACTATTCATTCAACTATTTCTAGCAACTAAAAAAGATTTTCATTCTACAGTAAAACAATTAACTACATTAGGTTTCCAACTACCAATGTATGATCGTATTAGTGGTATCAATTTAACAATAATGAATACAAATGAAAAATATAAAGAATTATGGATTACACGATATAATTTACAATGGAGAATAAGATATTTCAATTCACCATATCCATTATCACCCACGACAGCATGGTCTGTTCTAGTCAATTCAACTGTTGACGATGCTAAAAGACGTGGAAAAACATCAGCTTGGTTGAATGAAGTTAAATTAACGCAGCAATTCATCCCAACACTCAAACCAACACCATCAAAAATCGACCATCTTAATATCAATCAAAATAATTTTGTCTATCATAAACTAACATCCAAGTATATTTTGGGATTCAATTACCCATGGAATAGGCATGAACTCAGCGAATTAGTACAAAACAACACTGTTATGAATTATCGTTGGATCCCAACAATAGATTTTCTACAATACTCATCTTCTCCCTCATTATCTTCTGACACTTCTGCATTATGTAGGCTATATGATCATTCGAGTATGTATCAGATACGACCAAAGGAATTAAATAAACACGAAAAAGATTTGCAAAAATAAACGGAAAATCCAGTTTTCATTGTATATTATAATCAATATTTTCCAAGGTTAGTCTATCAACCACATGTTAGATTTTTTAGATGTTTTTTTATCTAAATGGTCAAGTTAGAATTGAAGTAATTTGTAGTATTATTCACAAGCCCGTATTAAAAATGGCACAACTAAATGAGACTGAATTTTGAAATTCCTGAAATTCCCCCTAGAAAACAAGAAATTCAAACCACAATATGTGGTCTTACTTAGCAATGTGAAATATCAATAATACCGGCATAAAAACTATTTATGAGCTGTAAAATTACTGAGCCGAATCGGTAATCCTACTTAGCCAAACCTTGATGGTTTAATTAGCTAATTGTTATTCTGGTTGTTTATGAGATCCAATTCGAGGCTTCCAATCCTAATGAGAATCATGTCTTATCGAAGCGATTTATTAGTGATATATAGGGCTTAGTGTTTAAATAGAAAAAAATATAAAGTTCTTCCAATATTAGTTCAGTTAGCGAAGCAATAAATTTAGGTGTAATTGCAATTAATTTTGAGATTAATTGACACATTACTAAATTTAATCAGCAAGTATTCATGATCATTGTTCTAACAATCATATTATTATGGTTATATTAGTAGTAGTAGTAGTCTTGGGACACAATAGTATTATTGATAAATAGGATATTATGGCAAACAATAAGACTTCAATTATGATCATTTATCGAGTTGTTCCTCTATCGATTAGTTATTGTTTGATGTAACTATGTACAATAAATACCCTATACATGTGAGCGAAGCATAGCTTTGTAACGTGTGGACTGCAGGTTAGATGTGCAGCGTATTTATCGATCGCATCAGTGACACGTAAAACACGTAAGGACGACCTAGAGTCCCGATTGGTCCCGCTTCCCTGTCTAGCCCAGCCAGTTGAGTCTAGAACGCAAGTCACAGCCTCTGAGTTATGAATCGTTATGTTCCAAACACACTCTGTTTATATACCAACCAAGCAGACCACATCGTACCATAAAAATAGAAAACAATATCTGTACAATATTTAACGAGTGAAATAAATAATGGCCAATAGGAAATGCCCATTTAGAGTCCAAGGACATCATTAGACTTAACATGATAATTATTGGTATATTCCTCAGCATCCCTAACACATAATGTCTAGATCGTCACTAAAAAAATTACCATACATTGTTTAATACTTAATTAATGTAGTCATACAATATCACTGCTGTAAATTGAGAAGAAGGAATTCTGTATTATGTGAATGAATAAGTAATATATCGGATTATCTTGAATATCCCTATTTCCAAGGAGACTAGATTCCGAAAATAAAAGAACCAATTTAATAGATGGAACACTTTCAAAGAAGAAACTTTTGCTCAGCAAAAAAATGAAAAAGTTACATTAAGAGTTTATTTTATATATTCGTCCTGTCAAAAGTAAAGCTAATGAAAAGTACCTCAATTAGTAGGGTAGTTATTTCGAAAAAAACATCCTCAGACTAATTAAAAGCCAGTATGGGTATAGTTTTTGTACTCAAAAGTTCTGTCTTTCTATAATTTTATTGATGAAAGTGGTATAAGACGTTTTTCGCCTTTCCTTATCAGATTGTAAGCTTAAAACTTCAATTTTGGCCTTAATTCTACCACAATCTTCCATTGAAGTTAATAATTGGTGATGTAAGTTTCAATAGTCCTTTTATAATAACCACTTTGTCTGGTTAAAAATGAACGTTTAATGTAACTTGTTCATACGATATTTTAAAAAATAGTAGGTATTCAAAAGGACGGTTTAAATAAGAAGGAGGGTTTACTAGAAATCCAGATTTCCTCTGTGCATCTAGCAGCTAATTACTTTTTGTGGAAGAGAGCGGAGAAAACGTACCTTGATATTTCTTTTACATCTTGCCCAAGAGATATAACTGATAACAGATAGTTTTTTCCCTAGTTTTTTTCCATTCCTGAATCATATATAAGAAGCGTTTTGAACAAAATTGATACTTTCAACTCGATATTGTCTACCGAATCGGGGAACCTATAGCTCTGAAAGGTTGTAAGTGGTTGACTTTGAGTAACAATTTCCTAAACCAATAAAAAGTATTTTGCGACTGTGGTGACGGGCGTGACATTGAAATATGAGTTGACTCTAATTTGGTTAATCCACATTTCAATCAATGAAATATTATTTGGTCGTTGATTCATTCTGTAGGTTTATGGATTCTTGGTTTAATCACTTTCAGTCAGATGTCGTACAAAAGTTGCAAAAAATCTTTCTGTAATACAACAATATGAAACAATCTGTATGTCGAATCCAATTACATTTTGTAAATAATACCTTATTGTTTTTTGCAAACACATTAACTTTTGCTCTTGTTTTTACTTTTTTTCAGTTAAAGAAAAAGTATTGAGGTGGAAATTGAAAACTAGTTCATTGCTACAATAATATTACGTAATCTAAAAAAATATCTGGTAAAAATTACTTTGTTTATATTACTGTCTGCTATTTTTTGAGCATTTATTCCACAGACTGTGTTCAATCTATTCAACGTCTTTCATGAATGTTTCTCCTTCAAAAACAAGCGATTTATCTACTTGAATGCTTATTCCTCTTACATATAAGCGAAGGAATCATTTTTGAATAGAGTTATGGAATAACAATTTAAGAGAAAACAAAACGGAACTATCCATCTCGTCATAACTGTCTCTTTAGCTTCTTATCCACCTGTGAATTTTTTTGGTTAATCGGTGCAGACATCTGTTTTTTTTCTTAAAATATTCCTTCTGCTACTAATGAACGGCTAACGTAAAACACAGAGGGTACACATATGTATATATATATATATATATTTGCGAAATCTTTTTGAAAGGTTATTAAATATATAACAATAATAGTACGGTAATATGATTTTGTCTTTGACTCCATTTTTTCTTGTCACTGTCCACATAATTTTATTATTATTCAAAGTCTAAGAAGAAATTTCCAGTTATTTTATTAAGATCTCTTGTTGTAACTAGCGTTTTTTAGTGTTACCGTTTTATTTCGATTTTTCTTTTCTCTTAGTAGTAACGTAATGTGTTACGAACATGCAATGCAAATTTATATTTTTTTATCAAAACTATTATTATTATTAAAATATGATTTGATTAATTTGTTATCGTTTTAGCTCTTCACATTATGACTGCAACTGTCATTACAACTAATACTGATAGTAATATCCGTAATAACTGAGATAGTATTACCATGATAATTTGTTTGTGTTCGCTTGTTTTTTTTAATAGCTACTGAACTTTTGCCGAACTTGAAATATCACAGAAGCAATACAGAATATTGTATTGTTGATAATCATGATATTATGTAGATTGTTGTGCTTGGTTACCCTGTTATTTTAAGTTATTTTGTTGAGATTATTTTACATTTGACTGACTTTTATGTTGACAAAAATCATCTACGTTTCGGCTTATTCACTCATACACATGTACACTTTCACGATACAATATGACTGCATATATGGGATCTGAATAATGTAATGAAAACTGTATTCGGCGTTATCATGTTTTGTTTATCTGTTCACTAATCCGGTTACATTTTGTTCTTGTCGTAGTCCGCCAAGTACACGTACAAATGCATAAATAAATATATTGTTATTCTGCACTCCTCCATTGCATTCTTTCCATCTTTTAAACATTTTATGAAGGATATATTTATTTTTCAATTTAAGTTTTTAACTGCATGATTTCGATAATCGTTATTTGTAACCTCCTTTATAAAAAAAATAACACTGAGCCTTTTCCCGTTTTTACGTATTTGTTCGTGTTTGAGTGTCACGAAGTACCAGGAAAATATTACTGGTAATGTTGTTTGCACTCTCCTCATCTCATCAATGTTGTTATCATAATTATTATATTGTCGCATTAAAGCAAAATGGCAATGTAAAAAGTACATTATATATATCCTGTAAGTACGTCTTTTCGATTTTTGTGTATGAGTACGGTCTGATTATCGTGTTATATTGACTAGTATACACGAAATGTATTTAGAATGAGATGCGTCTTTTGCCTTTGTAGTCCTCTACCTCCTATTTATCTTTCTTTCTCGAATTTACTTTTCTTATAGCACAAATACCAACAACTGCATTATATTACATTTACCAATGTACACTTTTTTATAATCAATATAGTCTGCATGCACTAACATTATGCAGCTTTTTTATATTGAATATAAATGGACTAACAATAATCATTTCATCGTCGTATTGTTCTTCTTCATGCTTTTGTTTCTGTCTATTTCATGATTATGTAAACAGGCGAAAATAAAGAATGAAATTCAACTTGTATGTCGTTTTTTCTCGTGATTAATCTTAGTCTGTATTCACTTTGCATCATTTATATGTATATTAATATTGCAATTAATTATGATTGCTACTTATATATAGCAAATGTTTTCTCATTCAAATAGATAACGTAATTCTTTTTCCCAATTCTATTCTATGTAGTCACTATTTTATTTCTAATGAAAAATAATCAATTGTTAGTAATAATTGCATACAAACACTCATTACCTCGCCTATTAAGACTTAGTGAGGACTTCTTTCACACTATTCGATATTTTTTACTGTTAATACACTATCAATTCTTTGATAAGGTCCCAGTCCACTCGAAACTCTCAAAAATCGGCGAATTTACTACTTATATTAATTAGACAACATTAGTCGTTGTTGATTAAAAATTAGACAGTCGGTTATAGTCAATTTAGGAATTAGCGCAAATATATATCAGTCTAATTTATGCTATCTCACATAGGCATATCTAGAAATCAAAGTAGAGTATTCTGTCCTCAGATAATATACACAGTAATCTAAACCTATACTATTATCCTTACAACTTACAAAGACTGGGTATCCTCATATGTCTTGCTTCCGTATGCCCTTTATATAATTCCTAGTCTCTAATTATGATTATAATGCCTGATTAGGACATTAGTTTTCAGACAATAAGTAACTCGGGATTAGCAAGTTAACATAACTGTTATAACAGTACTCCTCTAATAAATTTAAAATAACTCATTATTCCAGTAAAAATACATCTCTTGATGCACACTACCTGAAAATCATATCAAAAGTGATATTCAGGTTTTACTAACCTTGTTACTCAACTATAACTTTTTTGTAAATCCTTGTAAATTGAAGCAAAGATTGACTTACGTTATCGAATGATATTTGCATGCGACTCAGAAACCTAATGAAGCGCCTGACTCATTCAAGACTAAATAACTAACTTGATAAAAGAATTAACCATAATTCCCTCAGTAAGGAAAAAATTATCTCCAGTCATTTCCTGAACTAAGTATATCCTGCTTTACTCCACTCTACTGAATGTGTGTAACACATTTAACTTCTAAACAACAAAAAGAAAGAAGTGGTTAATCAAGCGTTGTAATAATTCCATGTCATCTTAGAAATAGGGTCAATAAAGTTATTGTTTTGCATTAATTTGAAATACACGGATATTATTCGGACGATCAGTTAGTTAAAATCCAACCTAGATCCTATCCTGTAGGGAGTGACAATGATCAAGATCTTTCTTAATCATCATACTATTGATTTCTTCACAGTAAAATCTAGCCATCAGTCTTGATTCCCAAGGGAAGTTGATCCGTATTGATTATTCCCATCGCAGTATTATAAAATTTGCTATTGTTAATCGATCTGTTTCGCCTTCCCAACGACTGCCATCTGGTCAAGTAATCGTACTAAAATCGACCATAACTCAGTCATACGAAAACATTCATTTTATGTCCGAGACTCGAAAATGATAAACCAGTTATTTGTCAGCCAACCATTCACATACTGTAAGCTTTTTCCTCAAATTAAACTCAAAATGATTATTAGCATTTCACTGAGAGCTATTCTATTGACAACCATAGCTAAAATTTGTGTACACTTCTACCTGAATTTCATTATACTACTAATATATTTTCACCTCTTCAAACTACGATGTATGATGAAAGTGAAATTATTCTTCTAATTCCATAAAATTAATACATAAAGTATTTCATAATTTGAATTATACGAACTCATGACTAGGTAGTTTAACTTGTGTTAACAATGGAATAGTCAAAAACCTTTAATTTATTCACATGTGATTTTATTGGTATCAAGAATAAAATTAGGATTTAAATAAAACATGTATAATACATTATATGAAAACGATTCATGTTTGTTTGAAATGAACAGCAAAATGTTTGAATATCTAACAAATGTATTGTATGTGACTTTTTTAATCAGTCAATTCATATGATAAGAACTAATGAATAAGTTATAGTTTCAGCAAATATAACTAAAGCGGATATCCAGTTAACCACAGTTGTTTCTGCTATCACTAGGTAATTATTTAACTGGCTAACTACAAAGATGCAATAAAGCTTATCTACTTCAACTAAACTTTCCAAAATCACTTGGATCCTGTTTAAGTGGTATTGAGTGTTCCACTATTTGTACACTTTAATGAATCAGGTAATGTACATAAAATTTAAAAAGTACAACCTGAACATTTTGAAGTGACTCGTTATTTCAGTCAAATAGTCATGGTTAGTTGATTTGTCTTGTACTACGAAATTCTCTACAGTACAATCCATTAAAATAATCTATTTCAGGCAGAGGGAAATCATCCTAGACCAATTGTGTTCGAACAAAAAATTCTTGAACATGAACTATTGTTTTTCGTAATATGGATGTACAGAACGGAAAAGAGAACCAAAACTCAGTAAAATTCAATGAAATCTGTAGATAAACACCATGTTTGTATTTCGGTTTCAAGAATCTTACAATGTTAATAGTAAATTGCTAACTAAAGGAAATGATTGAAAGATTTAAAATAAGGTTTTATATCCCCTAAACGAGCCGTGAATGCCGTTCTTAACCACTAAAAAATTTCACAAGTTGAAAACCTTTAGTTAAAATTTCCCCGGACCTTTGACGAGAAAGCGAGATGACCGAAGTAATGTTATTCAGTAGATGTCAATAACACTAGGAATATCTAGTTTACTCAATAGTTAGATTCAGTAATATGACGAATGATTTAAAATATTATATGTATATGTGATTTATTCAATCGTTTCGCAAAACAAAACAAAGTCCACCTACAAATTACTACGATTTACAGATTGATAAGCTAAACGTTATGATTCTCCCCCCCCCCAATCCACTTAAATATTTAGACTTGTTATACATTTATCTCTGTTTATCATAACTACACATGAAATCAATAAAACTTTGGCAAACGCTAATTATTAACCAGATAACCAATCAGATAATTATGCATAGATGTCGTTTCTAGATAATCGTAAAAATACAGGTACGGCATTCGTCAAATCAAAGTCCTGTTAATTCAATAAAACAGTAAACTGAAGTATAGTTAGTGGAGCTGTTTTTAATTACCAGTACAGTTTAAGTAGTAGGATAATAAAAACAAATTAGAAATGACTTAACTGTAAACAATCAGTCGCTAATCTCATACAATCAAATCCTTATCACTGACTAATGCTTTTCTATCAATCTTTTTTATTAAGGTCATGGGTCTATGTGAACCAACATCAAAAGCTGTTATATGTGATGGGATGACATCATCCATAACATCCTCATTTTTATATTTGTTTCTCATTATATTGGGTCATGGTACAACAGATATGTCCACGGCAGAAAACTGATGATAACTCTAGCTTATGTGATATGCGGTTAGAAGAAATTAAAGCTAAGTTATCTACGAACTATCTGTAACTCTAATAGTCAATAATTGTTTTTATCCGTTAAAGCCACAAACTGATGACTCATCTTTCGAATTACTGTTTAAAAGCTTATTATTTGTCTTACTTTGCAGAAGACAATATCTCATGGTTCATTGAACTAGCTAATTCATATTATGATCAAGATTTCGGCTATCTTGTTTCCTTCTAAATGCAGCAAATTGTCTTAAAGAATGCCCTTAGGCCAGTGAATGTTGTGTAATATCACATACGTAACGAGAATAGAATCCTATCTTCAATCCTGAATTTCCAGTGATCTATCAGATTGAATAATCACTTTACCAAAGTGATATTATATTTATCTGATACTGTTTACTTAAATATCTGTTTTAGTCTCCAAAATAATAGTCCTATCATCTAAAATTCGTCTAGTTAGAACTCGGTGATTGGTTTTGTAATAAAATTATCAGTTCGGCTACCTCAGCCATTTTATTATTTTATTAGATAAGTTAAGCCATCATAAATTTTAGGTAGTCCCACATGATAATTTTTATTACAATAATTTGAAGATGTCGAAAGATTTTGGTTACTTTTATCTAGACGATTTTCGCCAAATAGTTGAACAGAAGTTTTTTGAGAGTAATCTCCACCATTGAGACATAGATATCAAAATAATCTTTACTGTCATTACTGTCAAAAAGCTGTATGATTTTGAGAATTAAGATTAAATGTGTAGATTGAATATGACTGAATGATAACTGCCACAAATTAAAAACGACTGATCCAAACCCACAATGAATAGATAACAAAAATGATGAAATAGCTGGTCAGAAATAAGTCATTTTACGTAATGTAATTAGACATATACATGCAAAATATTATACACAAAATAAACATGATTAAAATCCACTTAACAAGTCAGCAAAATTTACATATTAGCCTTTTAGATCATACACGAACCTATGAATTTAAGGCCTGCTATATCACCGTCCTATGAAATTGTGGTGTTTGAATGAACTGATGATTTCTTTGTACTTGTTGAATGCTTGATTTCGAATTCTAAATACAATACATTCGTTCGTGCTTGTCTTATACTTCTTGATTCAATTGCGTTATTTCGGGGATTCTTAGTTCATACTACAATTCAAATAATTCAAAACATCAAAGAAGTGTTATGAGATCCTTGTCAAAAAAGGTTAATAGTGTCAACACTCCTGAAGGTTTCTTGGCTACATTTCGTATTCCTCCTGGTTGACTGGATTTTCCATTTGCAGACAACAGAGAGTGATACTGTAAAATTGTGGAACTCTGTTAGGGTATTCACTTCTTATGACTGAGTAATCATAAGCATACTTCTTTCCCTCTTTTCTGATAATAAGTGCATTCTGCATTTTAGAGTGCTAAATTGTGAGCAGTCGTGGTGTATTCGTTGATGTCCGACTGTGGCTTTGAGTCGGTACAATAAACCATTCCCCTGTTTTGGACTCATAGATTTTAAACTTCTTTGCAAGTGCTTTCTTCTTTACACTGATTCACTCATTTAAATGTAATTTCACCTCGCTCTCTTGTCAAAAGGTTTCCTGACATACAATGAAATCTACCTTTGCTGACCTTTTATTTATTATCACTTACTAAACAAAATGTTATTATGACTATCATTCATCCCGACATAATTTTCTATCATGAATTCATAGCGATTAGGAAATAGAACTAGAATGATATAGTTGGTTACAACTTCTTGAGAAAATAAAGATCTCCATTGACTGAAAGTCCTAATTCCCATTGTTATGTGGGCCCGATATTCCTGTCCATTGAATAATTATTTTCAACTACACCATATTTCTCTCTTAAACTTTAACATGTCATTTATGATTAAACTAGTTACTTAAGATAAATTTTACTATGCTGATTTATTCAGTCAACAGAATACCATAAATGTTCAAAAGGTCAGCAAAATATCTGATTCGTTTCATTAAAAAATATTTTGCTATCATTGTTGATCTCTTTGTTTTGTTTTACTTAACAATGGTAGGTCTCAACAAAGTGATGGCCCGCATTAGCATTCTACACATTTTTGAATGTCACTAAAATCTAAATTTTTTAGTCACAAAGATTGTACTTTTAATAGTGAGTGAGAGACAGACAGACAAAAAATTATTATTTATATTTCCGTCTGCTTATGGATTTCTGGTTAGGCAGGCGTACTACACGAGAGATACTATGTATACCAAAAAGTCTTATCCTTTTAGAGATAAAAAGAAACAAAAATAGTGTTACGACGAAATTGATCAACATTTTTTAAGGCCATATGAAGAGATTTGGTTAAAGTGGAAAACGAATATGCAATTATTAAAATCTATCGACTAGGAGAACAACGTGTATACCAGTGAGAATTTGGAAATACAAAAAAGTGAACAAGGTGTTTTATAGCTGCAGCCACCTACAATTACTAGTTCCAAGTAATTTACATAGAAAACTCAACTGACAAGTACTTTTCTTAAAAAAAGATATTCTCTTAGCATTCAACTCATCTATATATAGAAGCTGTGGTTCACATTTAGTCCTTCCTTTGTTTTCAACAAATAGTATGATACAATAAGCAT